TCCTTTGCACTCCTCCACTTGGACTTCTCTCCGCCCTTTTCCGAGGGCCCTTTGGACTTCAGCTGCTTAAGTGTGGTTGGGTTGTTGGGGTTTGGTGGTGTTTTGGCGAACGCAGATGTGTATGTCCCTGCCCCTGCTGCAAGGATGACACGCTTGACTCCGCAGGTGCATGGCCCCTGCAGCAATGAAGACAGTCAGGCACGTACAGAAGACGTTTTTTAAATCGAGAAGTGTACCAAGTTAGATCTTATTCGCTTTCGCTTCTGCTGCTAAAACAGTTGGCTGGCCCTCGTACTCGAGTAGTTTTTCAGGGTTCAGGGTTCAGGGTTTAGGGCCTAGGGTTAGGGGTTTAGGGTTTAGGGTTTAGGGTTTAGGGTTCAGGGTTCAGGGTTTAGGGTTTAGGGGTTTAGGGGTTCATGGTTCAGGGTTTAGGGGTTCATGGTTTAGGGTTTCGGGGGTTCAGCAGCAGACATCTATGGATTCCTTTCAATCAGCTGGCATGTTCTGTTCGGAGGACCCTGGAGTGCCTGAGCGAAGAGGTGCGAAGTTGAGATTTAGGGTTTATGGTTTTAGGGTTTGCGCGTTCAGGGTTTCGGGTTTAGGCAGATGCCGTAGTACCAAAAACAGCTCGCCTGGCCTGCAATGCCAGACCCTCTCGTCCAGAGATCTCATTGACGTGAAGCATGGTGCCCTCGCCTCGGAGGCTTTTTGTATGCCAGTCTTCCCTTTTTTAATATGTAACAGTATGTACACACACATATAACATATGTGTTATATCACACATAATCAATAATATAGATATGTAATGTAATATATATATATATATATAGGCATTATGTATATATACATATCCATATCTACATATATATATATATATACACACACATTTTGTAACATATAGCATAGAGTATTTGTTATATAGTGGAAATTTACAGTATATAGCAATACATCATTCAATATATGTAGTTTGTAGTATATAACATTCAGTATACATGATATGTATACATATATATGTACATGTTTTATGAGGTATACCAATTAGCATACAAGATGTAACATCTGGTATATATTCTACGTTTTTATATATACACTAAAAACAGATAATTCATGTTATACATTATATGATACATGGTATATAACATATAACGTACAATATCTAATATACACTATTTAGTATAAAACATATGGCATATGATACAGAATATACACTACTTAAGATGAAAGATACAATCCATAAATATCATTTCCTCACTGTACAACATATTTTGAAGATGTAATTCTCATGTATACCACAAAATCTATGCCTTGCTGTCGTCTGTCGGCCTAGGTCTCCCACGTGCTTTTGAACGGATGGAAGCTTGACCTGGGAGCGCGATTTTCTCAGGAAGTCCCGAAAGTCTAGAACTCTTTGCGATGCAAGTGACAGTGATAGCTTTAGATAGGTTTGAAACAGGCAAGCCTGAGATGCAACCAGAAGCCAGAACTGCGCAGCACGTTCAGGTTGGTGGTGCTGTCCAACTCATGTCGAGCGCACGGTGGAGCTTATCGCAAGATTCCTGGAGCGCCGTCGCAAAAGTAGCTTGATCTGCGTTGGAGCTGCGATGGTGCTGCCCTGGTGAACGTTTCTGGTCTTGAAGTGCAGTCGAGGCTTGCACCGGCCAGTCTTTGAGCTCGTAGCCCTTCTCGATGCGTCGCGCAAACGCGGCCATGTGCGCTCCCTGAGTCTCACAGATCCGTGTGTGTGGACGGAACAGCATCTGAGCAATGGTTGATAACATCCGATACCCCTCTTTTCCGAGTCTGGCATTGCGGCGGAGTACATCGGCATCACTGACCTCGGACCTATGCCAACCTGCCGGGCAGCAGATTTCTTTCAGAGGTGTTGAATTTCTGGTGTGCCATTTGATGCCCCTGGGCAACAGCCGATAGTCAACATTGAGGTGATGCTGTGGAGATGTCCAACATGTGTGTTCCAGGACAACCCTGCACGTTTCCGGATGATCCTAAACCTAAACCTCGCCGTTTTCAACATTGTGAATTGACAGGCGCCGCTCGGGATCGCGCTAGCGCTGAGGCGGTCGGGAGTGCTGAAGCCAGGGGCAGCCTCAGACTACAGTAGCAGGGGCCAAGCACCTTTCCTCCTGTAAAAAATACAATATATCTAGCTCATTTTTACAGTATATTATGTGCCAGTATATTTTGTGGACCCTCCGACGATGACCGCAGGCGCTTTGGGCTCGCTTGGCCAAATCTGGCATTGCCCGGATGCCATCTGCGCGAGAGGTGGCCCAGCACTCAGCTTTCTTGAGCATAAGCTGTGCCACAGCATGTCAATTCGAAAGTTCCGTTTCCATCAACTTCGGGTGTTTGTTGTGCCGCTCAGGAAGCTCCGGTGGTGTACCGTCTGCAGCATCCACGGGGGTCTTGTGTCTTAACGAGTGCACCAATCAACCGTCTCGCAACGCACTTGCGACTTGTTTTTTTTCCCCGAGGTGGGATATCCGGCACCACTATGGACACTCCGCTCACATCGGCTTGCGGCTAGAAAAGATCGACTTTAGTTGGACACTGCAGGTTCGAAGTTGTGCTCAGGCGTCAGCTACACTCATCTCATCATGAAGCTAAGCTGTTGCTTGGAAATATGCCTAGGTCAAAGATGTACAATGAAATGCGGCTTGCCTGCGAGGCACAACCGGAGATCGCGGCTTTTCTTTCTCTCTTGGTCTGGTAAATCCGTAACCCTTAACCCCAAACCCTAAACCCTAAACCGTTGCAGGTTGGGAAGAAGCGAGCGCCAGTGCCGAACGACAGTTCGGGCCTTGGAAGAACTCAGACGAAGTATCAATTCACGCCGAAGCCTGTTTAGGGTTTAGGGTTTGGGTTGTATGTGATACAATGATACAAAGAAAAAGCACAATGAAGCGTTTTCTCATTGACATACATATATACATACACACGCACATACATGTAAATCCTGTTCAAGAAAGCACATCCATCCATTCGTGCACACAGCATAGGTTCATAAACACATACATGCGTATTGCATGCACGCACTGCATACATACGCAGACATGTCTGCGTCTACAAAAGCGACAATGACAAGCCAGTAGACATGGTTGCACACGAGCCCGGCATCGTTATGTCAGATTCGTAAACTCGTTGTTATTGTTTGCAGGTCCAGTCTGGTGCGACAACAGGACACAACTCTGCGAGAGGACCATGGGCGGGACGCGGTAGGGCCGATAATGTCCGAGAGTTGCGGGTGTGTGTCTGGGTATGGCTTGGGCTTTAGATTCGATCTGGTTTGGGAGTTGCGTGGCCCATGACTCGCGAATCAGATGCGCGAAGGACATCCTGCCGCCATTGGCCAGCCTGGCATGTTTTTGAAGAGTCACCCCAGGTCGTAGACATCCATAAATCCGAATCCTTCCGAGCCTTGAAACCCAAGAAGTTATTTCATCCCCAGACCTCTTAACCCTAAAGCCTAAATCCCCAGACCCTTTTCACCTTAAACCCCAGAAGCCCTTAGGTCTCCAAACTCAGAGCTCTTTTTTTTTTTTTGGGGGGGGGTTTGACAGGTGGCATGAGGTGCATCCGCTGAAGGCGATGCCCCCGCCATGGGTGGACGACCGCATCGAGCGACCGCCCTCGCGGAGTTTCGAGTTTGGGTTTTTGCAGGTTTAGGGTTTTGGAGTTTAGGGTTTAGGGTTTTGGGGTTTAGGGTTTAGGGTTTTGGGGTTTAGGGTTTTGGGGTTTAGGGTTTTGGGGTTTAGGGTTTAGGTTTGCCGAGGGGTTGTTACAACGTGAGGGGGTTCATGGTTTTGGGTTGGAGGCTTCGAATTGGAAGTCGGGCCGTTCTTACTGCGTGCTGCCTCGAGTGCGTGCTGCCTGGACTGGTGCTGTCTCGCCTGACGTGACGATCGAGACAGCATGCACAAACTGCGGCAGCCCGCAATCGGGGCAGATAGGCTAGGGAAAGCCTTCATTTTCAAGGCTTAGCTGTTGAACCTGTGGTTCTTCTTCTTCCTGCATGCTTTAGTTGGTTTCGAGCTTAAGTTTTCCAGGCGTTTGTAGCATGTGGTTTGGAGTTTCCGTGCCTTAGTTTTGTCAGGCTTGAGGAATATAACCCAAAACCCTAACCTTGAACCCTAAACCCTGAAACACTAAACCCTAGGCCTTATAGCCTAAACCCTAAACAGGGAGATTTTTCTTGAAATCCTCCTGTCACTCCAGGTACGACCAGCTAAGAAACCTCTGCACGGCGATTGAGAGGCCCAGGATCAACAACGAGGTCGGGTCTCTCCGCGTGGACTTAGGGCTTAGGGCTTGGGGCTTAGGGTTTAGGGCTTACGGCTTAGGGTTTAGGGCTTCGGGTCTACAGTTTAGGGCTTAGGGTGTAGGGCTTTGGGTTCTTTCGGGTTTTGAGTTCTTTCGAGTTTAGGGTTCTGTAGGGTTTAGGGCTCTACAGGGTTTAGGGTTCGAAAGGGTTTAGGGTTTGGGATTTCCAGTTTAAGGTTTAGGGTTGGGGCTTGCTTTTTGTTCTGACTTGCCTTTGCTTCGTCAGCGGAGGACCTCGATCGTTACCAGAAAACCACAGAGGCGCGCGGAAGAGTGGCCGAGTAGCCTCTTTGCAGAATCTCTGTTGCAAGGGAAAGCGGCATGTCAGCTTGGAAATGCCTAGCTTGCCATCGCCGTTGGATCTTGCTTCTGCGAGGCCCACGCCCTGCACCTTCGCGACGAATTCTGCAGGCAGCGACACGTCTCTGATGATCTCGCGGTCGGCAGTGGAGTTGCAGGATTTGCAAACGGAATGTCATGTCTCCGTAGTTTAGCTCCTGCACCAGCCTCCTCCTACTCCGCCCTCCCATGTCCGGCCGGCTATGACCAAGTTTTGACTATGCAGTTCCGAAGGAACCCAACAAGATGTTGATCAAGGGCGGTGTCGATTGAGTGGTCATGTAATATTATAATATAGGGGCCGCCGTTTTAATGCCCAAGACTGTTTTGAGTGCTCCTTATTATATTCATAGTATAATGGGCCGCCACACCCTGTTTCAAGTATTAAGGCACCTATATTATGGGCCTTATGGGATCTACTTGTAGCAGCAGCCTTCAGAAGTTTAGCACAGGAGCGGCAGCTGGACCCTAGCCCTGAACACAGACCCTAAACCCCTAAACCCTACAGCCGTAAATCCGACACCCCTAAAGCCCTAAACCCCTGAACCACGACTGCGAGGCCGAAGTGGGTTGATGGATACTGTGAGCCAAAGACGCCGCCACGAGTACATGCACGGTGCACCCTGCAGGCGCAGAGTTCGATGAAAAATCATGTCACTTGTTTCGGAGGCCTCAAAAGGTGGTAGGAAGGTAGGTAGGATGAAGGATCCCTTAGATAAGGACTCTTTCTTGAGAATATCCCACCTACCTTCATCCCACCTTCGGAGCCCTTCGACTGTCTGGCCTGGAGTTGCATGACGTCGTGTGTTCGACAGGATGGACAATTCTGCAAAAGGGGCCTTGTGAAAACCGACTCCGCCAGATTCTCAGTGCTCACTTAGGGTATGCTGGCCCTCAGATCACGATCTGTCTCAGGATGCCGATATTACCTCGGAGTGGAGCGACGCCTTCAAGGCTCAATCCGCTTCAGCTGTCATAAGAAAGGTCTGGGCGAAAGGGAGATACAGTGGCTGAGTCTGATAAGCCAGTCGGCCGATCAGTAAATGTGCAGCCAACCATCACGGTTCTAAGTACGGGTGACCTGCATTACATTTACATTGCCATATCGTGCCAGCACAGAGTGTTTCGTGGTTCGTCGAGGCTGTTGGAGATTTTACTATATAACAAAAATTATATACTAGACTTCGTGAGATGTTTTACTGTCTTCACGGATTATGCATACCTGAGTTGGCGCAATGGAGGAAATCCTTCCGTGGATCAGAAAATCCTACTAGCGGCAGGAGACTACGAGCATACCAACCCGCCAGCTCGTCAAGAGAACTCCAGCACGACTGCTCGCTCAGTGCTTGAAGAGCAGTCCCGGAGCATTCCTTGGAACAGAGGCGGCTTTTAGATCTCGATCCGGAGCACCAAAAACGTAGGATCCCGCGACGACTTCCCGACAGCAACTGGCACGCTCTCATTGATGATACCACCAGATGCGCATGGGACTGGCGACAGACGGCCCCATGACCACTCGTCAGGAACACGCGGTGGGAGCGAGGCTGAATTTCATTATTTTGTGCTGTGCTACGGCTAGAGCTGCAGAAAGCTGTGGAGCCCGGCGAGGGGCTGCTGCGAGAACGCACATATTCCAACCTCTTCAACGCAAAGCCTCCAGGTGTTGACACACATTTTGGGGATCTTTCCTACCCATTGGTCCTGAGATGTATTTTGGTTGTTCATCAGAAGATGCAGAACATCAGACTGCACAAAGCCTTCTCGTACTTCGGGGCTGCATTGCATCCACATGACAGTCACAAGCATTTTTGATGCAGCTAACAGAGTAACATTTTCGTACAGCTGCGTGACAACTGCTAATTATGAAATCTAGGTCCACCCTACAAGAATCGAATGTCTGTGATTATGGATGATATCTTGGGATCCGCTTCCTGCCTTGAGTGTGTCACACTGGCAGGAACCGCCCGTCCAGGCACTGGGCTCATTTTGCAGTTCGGATGTTGTGTCTGGAGCAACGGCGTTCATTGGAACGATGGGGAAAGGTCTTGACACAATGTGAGCTGGTTTTTAGTTAGACATTTCGCACGGCCATGTCGCAGCATGTTCTGGATTTCTCTGTGGACAAAGGTGGGGCTCATGCCGTGGATTCTGACTTCACATCTGCTGAGCTGTTCCGACAGACAAAGAGAGCTCCGCAAGTTTCTGTGAGCAAAAGAGTCATCGCCGACATGCCGGCCTGCTTGGTATGTATGTCTTGAGATGCTGTGCTGTGCATGCCTTCAATCGCTAGACATGGGGCTGCAACAGGCATAGGAGCAGTTGTACTTCGAATGCAGTGCTTCTTGCCGCAGTATTCCGGCCCATCGATCTTCGATCTGGACCGGGTACTCCTGGTGGTCTGATAGAATGTGCCATCCCAAGTCTTCTGAGGCCTCAGTCGGCTTCCTGCTCACTTCTGTGTTTTCGGCCCATGGTAGCTCTCAGCAGTATGGCCACGCCCTACGAGACCCTTATAAAGCCTTCATAGTCGCCCTTCCAGAACCCTTGTAGTAACTTTCGAAGACGCGAAATTTTTTCCCCCATAGAATCCTTCTGGAGCCCGAACAGTAGCCCCGCCTCGCTCTGTGTGCGCACCACCCCCCTCAAGCTCGGAGCGGAGAACACCGTCATTGGCTTTCCAGGGACAGCATTACACCTCTCAAGCCTCTCAAGATACTCATGAATAAGATCCTCTTAAGTCCAAGAAACCCCAAACCCTGAAACCCTAAAACAAGAGAGCACGAACGTATACCTTGATCGCGCAAAGGAAGTCCTTCTTGGCCTTGCTTGCTCTCGCTGCAGGCAGCAGCGATCCGCATGCAGCTTTCCCATTTCCTTGCAGGGGCGTGTAAGCATGCCGTGAAGTTCTCAAAGTCCCGCGCAGTTCTGCCGGAAGCTGATGGACATCTCGGCTTTCTGGACCGCAGCAGCAAGCTCACCAGGCTGGGAGTGTATGTTTCAGAGTTTCGGTGGGGGAGCTCGGGAGTTGCATTTCAACTTCTCATCGCGCAATCTTGCTGCTGCAATCTGTGCACAGGGAGGTAGCAGAGCCTGCTCCGCCGACTCCAGATGCAGGGCCGCAGGCACCGTGAAAGAGCGCTTCGAACGGTTTACACTTCTGAGTCTGCCGAGGCTTTACCGCCGAAGCCGTGGTTTGGCGCGCAGGCGCGGCAAAGCGTCGCTGACGCAGTGACGCAGTGTGTGTCGGGCAAGCTACTTCACTAGGAATACGTGCTCTTCGTCATCGCACCTGGCTCCGTCTGGCCCCGGTGTTGAGGGTTGTTGGCCCCGAGGCAGAATAAAGGCATCAAGTCTGCTTTCGCTCAGGCCTTTGTGGCACTGGCCTTCGTTGTCTTCCTGCGTCACTTCGAGGCCGGGAGCAAAGACTAGGACGAAGGACTCAAAACGGGGCCAAGGGTTGGTTCTTGCCCATCTATGCATCTATGGCATACTGGGAGGAGCTTCATGGTGCCAGCCTGGCTTGTGTCGTAACGGAGCGGACACTTCCAAGTTAGGAATCAGACTTCTTTGGGCCCGGGATGATGCAGAATCGAACTACGACCACGGACATGCAGGATCTTTCGCAGAGGCTATTGCTCTGAATTCAAGATGTACCGTGGTTGGCAGCTAGCGCTGTGTGCATCTTGCAGGATGCAGCATTTTAAAGCCGATGTAAGGCAATCACCAACCGAGGGGCCTGCCGTCCAGGCCCAACCCATGCGCTGAAAAGAGATACATCGGGCTTCGAGTCTGGAATGAAGGCTGTGCAGTGCGATACCATCTTGTTGGGACAGCTGCTGAGAGAAAGGAACAAATTGTGTCTCTCCGTAACTCCACAACGGCTTCGGCTTGCCGATGGGGGAGACGGGAGACGGTACGCTGCCCAAAGCGACGTCTGCAAGCATCAACGTCCGACGCGTGTGTCTGCGGCTCCGACGTCGCACATCCTTGACTGAGAGATCTGGTGTGAGAGCATCCTGCACCTCCATGGGTCCGAAGGCATGTTACTATCACATGATATATGATTAGATATTATGTGTTAGTCTATTGTATTTACTATCATCTACTGTATTATTATATTGTACAATACTATATACGGTTTATGAACCCACTGTTTGGCAGTTGAAACCTTCCACCTGCAAGTCTTCGTGAGGCGAGGCAGACACCGAGTGGCGAGGACGGAGGAGACCTTGAGGTGCACTGCTTAGAGGATCATGGGACTTAGTAACTAGGGCTAGGGTTCCTTTAAAGGGGCTCCTATTAAGGGATCTATACAGGTTACTATTAAGGGTTCTGTAAGGGTTTTGGGGGTACTTAGAGGATCATGGGACTTAGTAACTAGGGTTATAAGTAAGGTATCTATGCTTATAACCCCAATTAAGGTACTTATAACCTTACTTACTGAGTCCCATGATCCTTTAAGTGGTGGCGGCTCGTTTGCTTGGGACGGTCGACACAGGCGCCTTGACATTCCTGAGGTTGTTGACCGCGAGCCGGAAGGACTTGATGAGGACCCGGTGAGGTTATGTTCCAATTTTCAGACATGTCCGACTACCGAAATAATTTCCACTATTAGTCAAGATCAATCAAATTCTTGCTGCAGAAGACTGATACCAAACACGGACATGCGGCTCTGACATGTATCATGATTGTATGGTGCATGAGTGCACCACAGCACAAAGATAGCAGAATCTGATTTTCCACGAAGCATGCCGCCGGTTGCGTACTCACCAAAACGATTCAGCATTTGCGTTTGGCTTCGACTGCCGGGGGCAATCGCATATTCGCGCAGATGCACGCATGCATGAGAGCTTCAGTTGGCCCTTAACTTGGGCTTCGTCAATTGTTGCCTACTGCTTGCCTAGAGTCAGAGTGCGAGAGGACGTGTATGGTGCCGGGATTGCCGCCTTGGTGCGTGACTCCTACAGCATGATCGATGGCAAGGCCGGGCAGCTGCCTACTACCCGTGAGCGAAGAGGGAACTCTCAGAATGCGTTCCTTCGTGGCAGCGGCAAGTGCACAGACTGCACGACTGCGCATGCTGCACAGATTTTGGTTAAGAAGTTTATTAAGGAAGTGGCAAAGTGGCCTCGGGCTGTCGGAAGTCGGGACCAGAAATGAGCTTTGCCAGGGCGATTTTATCCTCCGGTGTTCACGCTTGGCCAGCAGCTTCCTGCTTATGGCATTCGTGGCTCGGCTGGGAAAGCTTCACACAGGGCTCCGCAGATAAGGGTGATCAGCGTATGACTGCAGATGCGGCATGCTGCCATGATCCTCAATTCAGTTCCCTTTATGCTGACAGATTTCCGGATTGCTGTATCAAGCCCTTCTGGGTGTGCCAACTGATAGCAGATGTCGTCAGATGTCTCAACCAAGGTGGTGTTCTTGCAGATTTACTTGATCAAGCAAATGCAGGCCGATCGTTGTCGTTGCAAATGAACTCTTGAAAATAGCCTCTCTGTCACGTACACATTGCGTACTCATTGTTGCAGGGCTCTGTTTGCAAAGGCCCTGGTGGCCAGTCGAGCCGTCACAGAGATCCGCAGTATCTACGGCAGGCCTGACAGCTGTAAGGCTCACATGCATGCGTTAAAACACCCATGATGTTGAATCAATAGCTGGCACGCGTGTCTTTGAGTCTAGAGACGTCAAGAGCAGCATCTACTTCTATTCTCTTGGCAGGTTTAGGGGTGCCGTCGGGTTATCTGGTCGCACACCAGCAGACCGACCAACAGATTCCTCGCGGGGCGTATGTACAACTTCGTGCACCTTGTAAGCTGCACCCGTTTGCTGGCTCTCCCGCTACCTCAGCGCTATTCATCACTACTGATGAGGTTGCATGCATGTCGATGCGTGTTGCATCCCATTACCGTTGTGGGTCCTGGGTGCCTCGCAGATACCCTGAGGCCTGCTCCTCTCTTGTCACTCGCTCCTTTCCTCAGCTTTCTTCTGACCGGTTAAGTGTGATGTCTTGCTGGGCCTCGTCTTCTGCACCTCGTCGACTCACTTAGCCAACCAGCCACACAATCACCATTTCACTCATATCGTTCATGAAGGGCTGCCATCAGTTCTGTGATGTGTCTGGCTTCTTTGCACCGGACGAACGGCCAAGTGTTTGTTGCTCCTTCTGCCGCGCCAATTAATTCTTGGATGCGACTGCCGCGGTGATGCTGCGTCGTGGCACAGCAGCCGCATCAGTCGTGCGCACCAGTGATCCCATCAAAGGCTCGAAGGAAGCGGTGTGGTGATGTCTTGACACAGCACTACAAACACAGAGCACCACAGTGCAGAGCGAGTGTAGGGGATGTCACGACCCTCGAGGGCTGAAAGGCACACGAACCGACAGAGGATGCAAAAGGGAACACTTCACAATTCACACGTCTTGCCACAAGCAGGCATTCCGTAAACACACTACCAGACCTGGGTGCGTTAGCTTACAGTAAGAAGTCGCGAGGCTCGCAGCTTTCGTTCTGTGGCTGGCAGATGTCTTGCTTGCTTGTCGTACTTGCAGGATCCGTCGCCAGTAACGACAGCTCGCTTTATGCGCACATTCGGTGCCACGACATGACCTGCACATGCACTGCCAGCTAGCGCAGACCATCTACCGGCAAATGGGCTTTGCGGTCGTGAAATGCTTGCTCATGTATCGCTTGTAAAGGGTCTGTTTCTTTGTCGATTTTCCGATCTGTTTTGAAGCATGAGTCCAGGGACTACAGCCGCACTCAAGCGACAGATGCAGGTATGAGTTCGTGATGTACGGTGCAGATGTTACTCACAACTACTTGACCCCAAATGGTTTCCCTCGTGGACTTGATGAGAAGTACTTTGATGCGCAACTCGGCTGCATTGCTTTCGGTGGACCACGAGCAATTTCCGATACCAAACTGGAAGCCCATGGGCACCAGATTCGAGGTCAAACTTCGCGCGTCTCACTGGCGATGAGAAAGATTTGGCTTGCAGCTCTGTTAATACTTGTCTCGATTGTATTTGTTTTGGGGTTCCGGCAAGTTTAGGGTTTCTGGGCTATAGAGCTTTAAACTTTGGTTCATCTGCCTACGGAAAAAGTCTTCTTGTCCTTTCATCTTGGCAAGGTAACATCCCCTTCTCACAGATGCAGATCCTGGTGCCAATCTTATTCATATGGTGTCTTGGCAAGAAGGTTCCCTGAAGCAGTGTTTGAAGCTGCAGTGGGTGTCTCAAGGGTTGCAGGACTTTTTGCCATAATGGCTTAAGAAACACTATCACGAACGGGCTGTATACATCTAAGTTGACTGCAATTGCCACAGGCAAGATGGCGTCCAGACACGGTGGGCAGTTCTGCATGAGATCAGACATGCGGTGCATCCGAGGACCCTGACAATTGTCGCAGATCTCCGTCGCTGTGGAGATCTGTTTGTTCGCCTTATTTTGGCCACGCCAACGATTACTTCCATGAAGGTGCTTGTCGGATTATGCGATTCCCAGATTCTGAGTCGCACACATCACAGCAGGGTCAGTCGCGCTGGTTCAGGACGCTGTGGTCGAGGGCGATGGAGAGTGCGAGATCATCGTCGGCTTGACTAAAGAAGTCAAGGCCATGCTGCTGTCAACATGCGCCCCGTCCGGCTGAAAGACTATCTATTTCTAGTTTTTCTGGGTTCTTGTCAAGGGGTTTAATCAAAGGTATCCTAAAATGGAAACCAGATTATTTACTATATAGATCCCTGGTAGTTCCTCGAATCCCTGAGACGCCCAAGAAGCCTCGACTAGGACGGCTAGCCTTGGCTTTGGCTCGATATGAGAAGTGCTGGCGCTGTTATAGGGGCGCACACCTGCATAGCTTTGCAAGCCAAGCCCTAGAGCCTAACCCCCCCCAATAGTACTACAATATATCATATGCAACAATTTTTACTATCATATGGCATCATATGCTATACTAAATAAAATAGTTCTTTATAGACGAAACGAGGCATGATCCCGCGATGGATGATTGATGTCTACTTGCTGTGGCTCGGATGCCGCTGGCTTTGCGCCACGCCGAATTTCGGAGACCTGCTCCTGAATTCCGCTACTGAGCTGAAGGTCAAACGGGAGTTTCCGAAAATGAGGGGCACCCTATTTTGGGGTCCTTATGATAAGGATCCCACTTTTGAGGGTACTAGATTAGGGTCACCTATTTTCGGAAACTCTCTAACTGCTTGGGCCGGTTGAGGGCTTTATTTGAATTACATTGGGTTAATGGTTTCGGGATTCGGGTTTAAGCAACAACCCGCTACCACTGCACCCGCACACAAACACCTTTGCCCGCCCTGGTGGGTTCGCTGGGTCGTTACAGTAGTGCAGGTCTAGCAACTTCTTTCAGGATGTTTTCATGCCGTCTCTGATTAGTCAGCGACAGGATGTATTGGATTTAGCTTCTCCCGCTTGCTCTAAACAACTGGCAAGCATTATTCCGGTCCTTTTGAAAAACAATGCATCCCACTTGTCCAGAGCAGCTTTTCACTGTAATTTTTTCCCGAGACGAGTGCGGCCGATTTGTTTGGCATGAGATGCAACCGTTCACCTATCGCTTACAGTAAGCCCTATTGTAAAAATTCTCGTAGTAGCCTTTGTAGGACACATCCAAGAGATGCTGATTTCTGGGTAATTATACATGCATGTCTGCTTGGCAGTGTGCTATCCTGCGCAACCAGCCCAACAGTGTCCATGGTGTCGCCTTTGCTGAATGTTCTGGCACACTATGTTCTTGAATTGAATTGTTCGTATCTACGCCGAGATAACCGCCAGATCATGGTGAGAGGAGTTGATCCCTAAACCCCTCAACCTCCAAACCCTCAACCCTAGTCATCCGTGGAGAGTCTTTCCGCCCACACCCCCATGAGGTTGCCTTGGAGTTCGTGGTGCTTTTGAAGGACACTTGTTGCTTTTTCGGCCTTAGGTGACAGTGATACATGTTGCAGCTCCCCTGAACCCTTGAATCCCAAGCCCTTCAATCCTTAACTTAAACCCTTTAACCCGTTAACCCTTAAACCCTTAAGCCCCTAAGCCCTTAATCCCATAAACCCTTAAGCCCTAAACCCTCAACAAGGACACGCTCTTCATAGGCCGGGACCCCCAGAGGTGCCCATGTGGGGGTTTCCGAAAAAAGGGGACCCTAATATAGCACCCTAAATAGTCGGATCCTTGTTATAAGGACCCCATAATGAGGTACCCCGAAATTTTCGGAAACTCCCCATGTGAGTCGCTGTCAGTGGCTTGGAGTCTCCTTTGCTGGGCCAAGGCGTGGTCCCGGATCGACGCTTGCCCGTACTGGTGGGGGCGGGGGGGGGGGTGGAATAAGTGTTACTACAAAGAACACATATCTGTACGTCTGTACGTATGCAATCGTACATATATATTTATATAGAGATAGATAGATAGATAGCGAGTATCAAACTTTAGAAGGGGGGGAGTGTGGATTTACAGCCGGAGGCCGGAGACCCATCAGCCACCTCTAAGGCAACAAGCGAGCGACACAGAGTACGCTGATCCAGCCGTGGCAGAAGCAAGAGCGCGCAAATTACCGATCCGCGGATGCAAAAAGCTAGTGTGATTTACTGTTCATGTGATCACGACGCGACAGAGTCCGTTGCAAGGAGTCTTCCTTTCAGCTTTCGTGCTGGTCCTGGTGTCCTTCTCCTGGGTATTCTACTACATCTACCGCTTCCAGGCAGGCTCCGAAAGGGCCGAAGTAGCTGCGTCGCAGCGTGAGGCTATGTGCTTCGAAGTTGCTTATGGGAACCCAAAACCCTAAACCTATAATCTCAATTCCTGAACCTTAAACCCTGAACCCTAAACCCCAAACCCTGAACCCGAAACCTTAAACCCTCAGCCGCAAACCTTAAACCTGAAACCCTAAAATTGGACAGGCCGTCCTGCCAGACTACAAGTGGGACGTCCATGAGGTTCCAATAGAGAATTGCTCGAGGGATTGCGAACCTTTAGGGGTTTAGGCGATTCGAAAGAATGCGTGCTTCTCAGGTCTGCAAGAGCTACATCCAGTCGATTACATCTGGCAAGTCCAGATAGACTGTCGTGTACATCTGGAAGATCGGCTCGTCGAGAGAGCATGGAGCATCGACCGCCGTTTGTTCAAAACTGCTGGACCTTGCCATATAAAGACCTTCATAATTAGAATAGGGTTTTGGGGCCCATTATACCAATCATAATAAGGAACCCCCTTCTGTTGCCGGTCTTATGTACTGTGCATCAAAAGGTGCTTTCAGCTCTGGACGATGCACCGTTGTTGCCTGCTTCATTGATCCTGGCTCGCAGCAATTCTGCAATGTACCTGGGATCCTCGAAGCCTAGCCCCTGTGATTAGAGCTTAGGGGCTTGCGGTTTAAGGTTCAGTTATAATAGCAAAAGTCATGACTCTTACTGTTAGTAGTAGAGTAGTAGTAGTAGTAGTAGTAGTAGTAGTAGTAGTAGTAGTAGTAGTAGTAGTAGCAGGAGTAGTAGTAGCAGGAGTAGTACTAGTAGTAGTAGTAGTAGTAGTAGTAGTAGTAGTAGTAGTAGTAGTAGTAGTAGTAGTAGTAGTAGTAGTAGGGGCCGCCACGTACGTTTGCCCACCAAAAGTGGCGCACGGGGCTGTTCTATAGTGGTATTTACAGCAGTTTCGCAGTGTGTGGGGTAATGTATTTGGTGGATAAGAACTGCTGAATTCGGAATCCCGACATGAAGACAACCCCAGTCCTGCCGACAAAGTCTGAAGTCCAAAACTGTGCCTTTTTGCCTCAGCTGCAGAGTCCCACCTGCAACCACTGCCGGTCGTTCCAAGCAGTCTTGGGAGGCAGCACGTCTTGCACCGCTTTGAATTTGTGGTATGCTGCGACGGCAGCAACGACAGGAGCCACACCCACACTGTCCAGCAAGAAGTGACTGCACAAGCCGTCGACATGTGCAGCCCCGGTGGCGCCGCGGCCCAACAAGTTGCTGTGTCTTAGCTGCCGTTTGACAGCACCGACGCGCGCCTCTGCACGCTGGTCTCCGCCCCATTTGAACTTCTTTTGTGCACTTAGAAAGAAAGGCACCGAGACCTCATGCATGTGACTCTCCTCGATCAACTGTTCTCGAACGCACGCTGGCATGGCCGTCTCTGTGTCGGCGAACTCTCGGAGATGCCGGCCATGGGCTTGCTGTCCCCCTGCACAGCACAGCAGCCACCCCAGTGACCAAGACCCGACCAAAAAACCAGAAACCCCACAAATCGCGGACGTAAGCCGAGGCCAGACCCCAAAGAATAGAGGATTCTCCGAAACTAGAAGCTTTGCGTGGCAAAGCCTAGTCGTGCTAAGAAGCATAGAACACATGAGGACATATGTGCAATGTATACAACATATGTCTTATGCGATTTCGTATCAACCAACAACATATTTCTTAGATATATGTTATGCGATGTCTTAAACAGAACATATTTGTCAATGTTTTCATATCTCTTAGCATTTATCTTATGAACGAAACCTGAGACAGCGTATAGACTGTCTTCCTTGGGGACTGCCGGGCTCCTGTAATAGTCGGATAATCATTTCTTTATCTATACACCCCCAAAAAAAGCACAACTGCTTTTGGGCAAGGAAGTTGCCCGGGTTGGCCTCCCCCAAACTCCTCCTGTTGAGCTCGTAAATTGCCCCTCCCCTCTCTCCTCCCCCTTTTCTCTTCCTCCCCTGGGCTGTTTTCCAGGCAGGCAGAGCGGGAGCGTTTGCTATTTTGGCGCCGCGGTCAGTGGCCAGCAGCAACAAATTGTCAACTCTACTGTTTTGTCAGGCAGGCAAAGGAAGGAAAACCCGAACCTTGCCATTTTGCAAAGCTGCTAGTGGCCAGGGTAGCAAGTTCCCTAAAGCCTAGACTAAACCCTAAACGGCCCTAAACCCTCAACTTTGCTACTCTGCCAAGCAGCCAGGAGCAGCAATTTTCAAAATTTACCTTCCCACTGCAGATAAGCAGATGTCCAGATTTCAGTTGTGTTTTTTTTGTGCTGTTGCTCGTGCTTTTCCGTGGCCTGGCGGGGTGGTTGATTTGGACCACAAACTTCAGAGCACAAAAAAATCACAAATTTCAAATCTAAAGAAGTTTGTGGTTTTGGCTTTATATGTGCGCCTACTAAAAAACCACAAGCCAAACCCCAAAAAAAACACAACTTCTTTTAGGTTTTGAGCACAAAAAATAGCACAAACTTCAAATCTAAAAGAAGTTTGTGGTTATGGCTTTACATGTGCGCCTACTAAAAAACCACAAACCAAACCACAAAAAAACACACAACTTCTTTTAGGTTTTGAGCACAAAAAATAGCACAAAAAAAGCACAACTGAATCCAGAATACAGCACAACTGAATCCAGAAAAAAACCACAACTGAATCAACAAAACCTGGGATCTACCTGCCAAAATCCTGGGGCCAGGCCATTGCCTTTTAAAATGATCACTGGACCACCAGCCCGGCCCGGGGTCCAGGCCGGCCAACCCCAGCCCCCCCTGCCCTTCCTGCCCCCTGCCCCGGAACAGAGCAACGGCAAGAGAGAGAGAGAGAGAAAGCAGACATGGGGGCAGCTTTGGAGAGTATGCAGGTATGGCAGAAGCAAAAGGTTGCCCAGAAGCTTGTCCGACAGAAGAGGTGCAAAGTACCAGAATCCATATGGGGACACACCCTGTCCTTCGGGGACAATTGTAAATGTACGATTCGTTCTGCATCCTCTCTTTGCGGGGGCAGTTGTAAATTTAGGTTTTGCATGAAGCCCTTAAAAATAAGTTGTGGTTTGATTGTGGGTTTCATTGTGGTCACTTTTACAGTGTCCCGGCAGTGTCCAATATCTTCCATCCTATCCTCGTAACCGCAAACCATCGTCAAAGCCGAAACAGCGGATGTCGTGACGACCTGGCGGTGGGCAAACGGGCGGGGCGGAACCTAGTAGTAGTAGTAGTAGTAGTAGTAGTAGTAGTAGTAGTAGTAGTAGTAGTAGTAGTAGTAGTAGTAGTAGTAGTAGTAGTGGTAGTGGTAGTGGTAGTGGTAGTGGTAGTGGTAGTGGTAGTGGTAGTGGTAGTGGTAGTGGTAGTGGTAGTGGTAGTGGTAGTGGTAGTGGTAGTGGTAAGTAGTATAACCGTATCATTAATGTTTTCTGACAATTTCTATCATGCTAGGTCACAGTGTCAGCCCGCACACAGAGTTGCCTGTCATGTAGGCAGTGCCACCCATGTCCCGGGGGCTCATGAATTCGTGCAAAGGGCCGAATAGGACGGGCTGTTCGTTGGCAGCCGAACCGGTGTCTGCAATCCAGCGGCCTGTTGCGCGGACCAGAAATCTGAAGGCACGACGTATTTTTGGTGCCGCGTCGCCGCGTCGCAGGCCCCCCCACCCCCCCAGTGCAATGTCTAGAGCCATGGAGCCGCCACGGCTCTGCATCGTGGCATCGAGGCCGCCGATGTCTGGATGTCTTGGGCGTGTTCTTGCAGTGACTTAGTACAAGTAGCTGAAGAGTAAATGCTGACTGAGTGAAGATTTGAAGGATTCTGGTGCTGAAATGAGGGCAGTTTTCATTGCCGCATGCCAGTCCGCAGGGTGAACCGTAGAGTTCTTACGCTGCGCCCAGTCGTTGTGATCTTGCAAGATCGGGCTGTAGATGCGAAGCTGATGTCGATGGAAATCGAGTATTGCGCTGCTGTTCTCAGTGGCTGCTTCAGTCATGGGTCTGTGCAGGCGCAAGACTGCTCTGCGGAGCCGCTATGGCTCAAAGAGTTGTGCACGCTGCGTGTTCTGAATGTGTAGGCCTGTCTGCCATGATCGTGAACATTTTTGTTCGTACCGCTGCGATTAGGGCCCCTTCAGTCGACAGCGTAGCTTCGCAATTTGTGGGGAAAAGACTGCCAATTTCATGTTGGTAGCGGGCTGGTACCCCTCGGGACCAGCCGAGCGGGTCGCAGCACCAAAGAGGCCTGGGCGAGCCTTCAATTCGACCCATTGCATTCCCCCTCATTTCTCCTTTTTTCCTTTGCATCGATCTTTCGGACGATGTCCGTTGCAGGACTTCGGTTCTCGCGTGCAGCAGGCTCGAGTATTCCTTTGGAGACTTGGAGCGGGTCCTGTATCTATGAGGAGTTCAGGACCACTATGCGGCTTAAACTGTACGAGGACGCGATTCGTCCAAAGACGAAATCGCCAGCCAAGGGCGACAAACTTGTGGACCCGGACGACAGCGGCGACAGGGAGACAGAATCAGCAAGCCCGACCCATGCTGCTGCTGCCCCGTACCTGCAGAGGACGGGCCCACCACTGAAGCTCACGCCGAAGGTAGCGGATCTCCATCGAGATCGCGTCCTACAAACCCGAAGTCGGAAGACTCGGGCTCAATCAAAAGTGCAACCGCAGCCCTGCCAATGGACGGGTCGACGCCCTATGCCGTTAAGGCGATGACGGAAATGGTGCACAGGATCTTGGAAGGACTTTGCAAGGAAGCCTTCGAGTTGGCGAGAGGTATCGGCATTGAATATAGATACATTGCGCAGTGTAGTTTTCCCCCGCGCTGCAGAAGAAGCCCGCGAGCTCTTCCGTGCGGGACAGCGTCAAGGAGCAATCGCCTGCCAAGGCGGCGAGTCCATGTTGTCGTACGCCAGCCGACGACGACGTTAGTGGAAGTTAATCAAGTCGTTAGACTGGAGCATCGAGCTCTCCGATCCGATGCATGTTGAACTCCTCCCGGAGTTGTCTGGGTATCGACGAGGATCCTGAAACACCAAAAATCGAAATGAGACGTCCAGCAAAGAAAACAACAGAAATCCCTCTGTGGCTCGCTTCTAGGCGCCCCAAGATACGACCGAACTGTCGGCCAGGACTGGGGCGAAGCCGGCATGCCTCCAGCTGAATAAGCTGCACGTTCTTCAGCTGATCTTGCGCGGCGCCACGGTTGCCGCCAAAGTGCTTCGCACCAGGTCACGGCGACGTCGACACGGATCGCAGCAAAGAAAAAACTGAAGCTTGTATGTGCAAGACATTCTTCACTTGCTCTTCACTGCCAGAGTCCCGTATGGGGACAACTCGCCCCAGCACGCCACCGAGCCATCGCCAAGAAGTGCGACGAAGGCAAAGTGAGACGACTGGATCTGTTGCGCATCCTTGAGCCGCTCTTGTACCTCGGACTCGGAGCTGTCGCCACCAAAGACAGCGTCGCCCCACGTAACGACGGAGCCATCGTTAAAGATGACAGCAAGTGCGGAGCAAGAGGCACGGATTTGTGTCGCATGCCTCAGGCGAGTTTGCACGGCGCTGTTGTCGCCACCCCACTCAGCATCGCCCCAGGTCACCACGGACCCATCGTCCAGGATCGCAGCGAAGGCTCCCAGCGAAGCTTGGATGCACTGCACGTAGTGGAGCCGATCTTGCACGGCATCGGTGTTGCCGCCGCTCTCGGCCAGACCCCACGTTACGACCGAGCCATCGCCTCGAATTGCTGCAAACGCTTCGTGGATCTGCTCGACGTTCGTCAGCTGTGCTTGCACTGCATCGCTGTCACCCACCGACGCTCGACATGCCCCAAGTATCCCCAAGTCACCACGGTTTCGTTTCCTGAGATTGCAGCGAAGGCGAAGAAATTGGACTTGATCGACGTTTGCAGGCGCTCCTGCACAGTTCGGCTGTTCCTTGTTGGTCGCCCCAGGTGCCGACCGAGCCATCGACGAGCAAGGCGGCGAATGCGCAGGACGTTGCTTGGATCTGCGTGACTCCGGTCAATTGTGCCTGCACGGCGGCGCTGTCGCCGCCCCTCTCAGCCTTGCCCCAGGGACAACGGAGCCATCGTCCAGAATTGCGGCGAGGGCATCTTCTGATGCTTGAATGCACTGCGCGTTCTTCAAGCGACCATCCTGAATAGCACTGCAGTCACCGCCTGCATCAGACTGGCCAAAGGTCATGATCGATCCATCGCCGAGAATGGCCGCGAAAGCCATGCCTTTGCCGCAGATCTGAGCAGTGCGGACGTGGACGGGCAGGTCGCTCCGATCCCTGTGGGTCTTGGTTGTTTGACCCCAAGCGTGCGCCCGCTGGAATCCAACAACCGGCCTTTAGCCAACCTCCAATGTGACCTGTGCTCGTTCTTGCAACCGCTCCACTCGGGATGATTACCAGCCTCTGCAGGAACAGCTTTTCCAGCTCCACGGCTCAAATCCTCTGCAGGTCCTGGTGCCACCTCTGGTCCAGGTGCAAAAACCTCTGCAGCTGCAGCCTCTGATGCATGATCAATCACTTTTGCAGCAGGTTCAGCCTCTGCTGCAAGATCAAAAACCGTTGCAGGTGTCACCTGGTGGCTCCTTTCCAGGTTCGGGGCGTCTCGGAAGAAGTACCCGTGCAGCAACAGGATATCGCGCAGGCACCACAGGACCCGCAGGGCCGGGCGCCGCAGCATCATCCGCTCGTCGCGCAATCAGACGCGGCGCCAGGATGTTCGGCTGCGGAAACATGTTTTTCTTTGGCCCCCTGCTATGCACATGGTGGCCCTGTCGAAGCTCGCGTCCAGCAAACCAAAGACAAAGGCATGCAACACTCTCCCGCGGCGGACGAGACGCTGCTGACTTTGCCTTGAGGTGCAACAGTGGAGCCAGTGGAGCTGGTTCGAGCAGGCGCCAGCCCCTCCGCTGTGAGTGGACATGGGAACAAGTCGTCCGCAGCCGCATCTCGCTGTCGCAACAAGACGGCAAAAGCCGAGCTGTTACAACTGCTGGCTGAACACAGCCCCGGTGGAGATCCCTCAAGATTGCCGGGAACAGACCCGCTCGATCCTGCTCGCCCCGAGAAAACAAACACGCACTCTGCGCAAGCATATCTTCAAGCCATTTCACAGCGTCTTGCAAGGCTTTGTGTAATCTCGTGGAAATTCGCGAAATCTGCACAACTGTTCTCTGTGCTGGGCCGGAATCCCAGCTTGAAGTCAACCAGGATTGGCAAACGTTGTGCTATGCTGTGTCTTCCGCTTGTTGTCAGTTTCCCTCGCCTCGAAGGGCTACCGCCTGAGGCGCCGTCGTGATCTGCACAAGCATGGCACAACGTTTTCAGCAAACTACCAGAACTTGCAGTTCCTGGGCTCCAAGCTGCTATTGATACGTAGCCCGCCACTTGCTGCAGATGATGCGCGTTGTTTCCCAGATCCTGTTGCTCCTGAGTTGCACATGGATTGTGAGGTCAAAGTCGCCAAAGGCAGCAGTAGGTGTGAGGCATTTCTACGCCATGTTGGAAGGCTTAGGATGTTGTGAAATTCCGAGGCATGTTGCGCTGAAGCCTTCGAGTGCCTTCCGGCAGGAGGAGACAGGGGGCGGTCGGCTTTTAGACGGGCTTGACCGTGAAGATGACTGGGACGATCACCGGCACGTAGATCACCATGGTGGACTTGACCTGCTTGAGACTGACGATGATCTCAACACATTGACATGGTTTGATGAGGTGGAGACCGACAGCCCTGCTACGGAGATCAAAGTCTCGGCCCTGCGTTTCTGCAACAAGCTCTTCTTCGAAGCAAGCGCAGGGGCAGAGGTTCAGACACGAAATCTGTTGCGCTCCCTTTTTTTGGTAAGACATTTGGTGACTTTGTACACAAGGGGCACGTGGATGAAGCGGCAGCTTCCATCGTAAGAGAGAAGCTGAATAGCCCGAAGCTGCGCTGCCAGTCCGCGCTCACACATGCCTACCAGAAGCTGAGCCAGTTTAGTACTGCTTGAAAAACTTCTTCTGACCCCTGTATCTACTTTCCAAGCCATACAGCAATAATAAGACCTTTTCAGCCTCTATCTGGGCCTAGGAAAGACGACGAGGGCAAACTCGGCAGGGCCAAAGGCAGGTTGGCACGCACGGGGGAGTCCCTTAGCAATATTCAGTGGCATTTAGACCAAGTCTGCGAGGATGAGTGCGAGGATCTCGTGAATAGAACTATGCAGGAGGCAAGGCACGTCGTGCAAGATGTGAGATATAAAGAAGCTAGTCTGCGCAAGTCCTGCGCCGAGAACATTGTAAAACAAGTCGAGGCTAACGCTTTAGGTTGCTGTGCTCGCACTTGCGGCTGGGATGGGGAAAGCTGCAACCTGTGGCCGTTGATGAGTGCAGACAGTCAGCGAGACTGGCAGGAAGAATGCTGCAGCGAAGAAACGGTTCTGCGGCACTCGCTCCGCGAGAAGATGTGTGATTCAATGCTCTCCGAGGCTGACAGGAAGATTGCAGACGCAAAAGACGAACCATCAACCCCTTCCGAACGACTAGCTGTGGGCCAAGATTTGCCTGCTTCGATGCGGGCGCAGCTGGGGAGCTCGCTGATTCACCTGTCACAGCTTGGTGAGAAAAGTTGCGCCGACGACGACTTCATCCACAAATGCCCGCCCACCCAACAAGAAATCAATCAACAGGCCTGCGGGGAGCTGCAGAAGTGGAAGGTCATGGAGCCAATCGACTACACGCAGCTTTTATACAGCATTGTGGAAGGGTCCGAGGATTGCGTGGAGAACACTGGTGCAGCAGCATGCCATAAGAAGCATGTTGCCGGCAAGCGAGTGGTGTTCGAGTGGACGCTGAAGACGCGACAGCAGCGCTGCTGCCAGTTCAACTTAGAACCGGGCACTCATCCGAAGTTCCAGGACTACGACCCGACGAAGGTGAGGCTGCACGACGTCATGAATGGCAAACTGCTGTTCTTGCCGAAGTGAGCTCTTGGGAGCTCCACGCGATTCTGCTTCCGCGGAAAAGGTGCGAAGCAGACGTGCTGAGCTGATGCATCATGGCCCCTCCCGTGTTGCAGGGCTTAGCTTGAAGTCAACCAGGATTGGCAGAGGGTGTTGCGTTGTGTTATGCTCTGTCTTCCGCTTCTTCGCCTGAGGCGCCGTCGTAATCTGCACAAGCATGGCACAACGTTTTCAGCAAACTACCAGAACTTGCAGTTCCTGGGCTCCAAGCTGCTATTGATACGTAGCCCGCCACTTGCTGCAGATGATGCGCGTTGTTTCCCAGATCCTGTTGCTCCTGAGTTGCACATGGATTGTGAGGTCAAAGTCGCCAAAGGCAGCAGTAGGTGTGAGGCATTTCTACGCCATGTTGGAAGGCTTAGGATGTTGTGAAATTCCGAGGCATGTTGCGCTGAAGCCTTCGAGTGCCTTCCGGCAGGAGGAGACAGGGGGCGGTCGGCTTTTAGACGGGCTTGACCCTGAGGTTGACGAGTATGACCGGCTGTTTGATGATGATGATGATGAGCTCGGTCAGTGGGCACGCGAGAGGGCCGGCCCTCCAGACAAGAACATAAATGACATAAAAGTCTCGGCCCTCCGTTTCTGCATGCTGATCTTCATAGACTCATTTGCAAATACAGTTGACGAGTTGGGACATGTTACCCATGCAGCTTCCGTCGCAAGAGACAAGCTGGCTGACGCGGAGCTGCGCTGCCAGTCCGCGCTCACACATGCCTACAAGAAGCTGAGCCAGTTTAGAACTGCTTGAAAAACTTCTTTTGACCCCTGTATCTACTTTCCAAGCCATACAGAAATAATAAGACCTTTTCAGCCTCTATCTGGGCTTAGGAAAGACGACGAGGGCAAACTCGGCAGGGCCAAAGGCAGGTTGGCACGCACGGGGGAGTCCCTTGGCAATATTCAGTGGCATTTAGACCGAGTCTGCCAGGATGAGTGCGAGGATCTTGTGCAAAGAACCGTGGAGCAGACAAGTGAAGTCGTGCGAGATGTCTATCACAAAGCGCATATGAGCAAGTCCTGCGCCGAGAACATTGTAAAACAAGTCGAGGCTAACGCTTTAGGTTGCTGTGCTCGCACTTGCGGCTGGGATGGGGAAAGCTGCAACCTGTGGCCGTTGATGAGTGCAGACAGTCAGCGAGACTGGCAGGAAGAATGCTGCAGCGAAGAAACGGTTCTGCGGCACTCGCTCCGCGAGAAGATGTGTGATTCAATGCTCTCCGAGGCTGACAGGAAGATTGCGGATGCAAAAGACGAACCATCAACGCCTTCCGAACGACTAGCTGTGGGCCAAGATTTGCCTGCTTCGATGCGGGCGCAGCTGGGGAGCTCGCTGATTCACCTGTCACAGCTTGGTGAGAAAAGTTGCGCCGACGACGACTTCATCCACAAATGCCCGCCCACCCAACAAGAAATCAATCAACAGGCCTGCGGGGAGCTGCAGAAGTGGAAGGTCATGGAGCCAATCGACTACACACAGCTTTTATACAGCATTGTGGAAGGGTCCGAGGATTGCGTGGAGAACACTGGTGCAGCAGCATGCCATAAGAAGCATGTTGCCGGCAAGCGAGTGGTGTTCGAGTGGACGCTGAAGACGCGACAGCAGCGCTGCTGCCAGTTCAACTTAGAACCGGGCACTCATCCGAAGTTCCAGGACTACGACCCGACGAAGGTGAGGCTGCACGACGTCATGAATGGCAAACTGCTGTTCTTGCCGAAGTGAGCTCTTGGGAGCTCCACGCGATTCTGCTTCCGCGGAAAAGGTGCGAAGCAGACGTGCTGAGCTGATGCATCATGGCCCCTCCCGTGTTGCAGGGCTTAGCTTGAAGTCAACCAGGATTGGCAGAGGGTGTTGCGTTGTGTTATGCTCTGTGTTCCGCTTCTTCGCCTGAGGCGCCGTCGTAATCTGCACAAGCATGGCACAACGTTTTCAGCAAACTACCAGAACTTGCAGTTCCTGGGCTCCAAGCTGCTATTGATACGTAGCCCGCCACTTGCTGCAGATGATGCGCGTTGTTTCCCAGATCCTGTTGCTCCTGAGTTGCACATGGATTGTGAGGTCAAAGTCGCCAAAGGCAGCAGTAGGTGTGAGGCATTTCTACGCCATGTTGGAAGGCTTAGGATGTTGTGAAATTCCGAGGCATGTTGCGCTGAAGCCTTCGAGTGCCTTCCGGCAGGAGGAGACAGGGGGCGGTCGGCTTTTAGACGGGCTTGACCCTGAGGTTGACGAGTATGACCGGCTGTTTGATGATGATGATGATGAGCTCGGTCAGTGGGCACGCGAGAGGGCCGGCCCTCCAGACAAGAACATAAATGACATAAAAGTCTCGGCCCTCCGTTTCTGCATGCTGATCTTCATAGACTCATTTGCAAATACAGTTGACGAGTTGGGACATGTTACCCATGCAGCTTCCGTCGCAAGAGACAAGCTGGCTGACGCGGAGCTGCGCTGCCAGTCCGCGCTCACACATGCCTACAAGAAGCTGAGCCAGTTTAGAACTGCTTGAAAAACTTCTTTTGACCCCTGTATCTACTTTCCAAGCCATACAGAAATAATAAGACCTTTTCAGCCTCTATTTGGGCTTAGGAAAGACGACGAGGGCAAACTCGGCAGGGCCAAAGGCAGGTTGGCACGCACGGGGGAGTCCCTTGGCAATATTTAGTGGCATTTAGACCGAGTCTGCCAGGATGAGTGCGAGGATCTTGTGCAAAGAACCGTGGAGCAGACAAGTGAAGTCGTGCGAGATGTCTATCACAAAGCGCATATGAGCAAGTCCTGCGCCGAGAACATTGTAAAACAAGTCGAGGCTAACGCTTTAGGTTGCTGTGCTCGCACTTGCGGCTGGAAAGCTGCAACCTGTGGCCGTTGATGAGTGCAGACAGTCAGCGAGACTGGCAGGAAGAATGCTGCAGCGAAGAAACGGTTCTGCGGCACTCGCTCCGCGAGAAGATGTGTGATTCAATGCTCTCCGAGGCTGACAGGAAGATTGCGGATGCAAAAGACGAACCATCAACGCCTTCCGAACGACTAGCTGTGGGCCAAGATTTGCCTGCTTCGATGCGGGCGCAGCTGGGGAGCTCGCTGATTCACCTGTCACAGCTTGGTGAGAAAAGTTGCGCCGACGACGACTTCAGCCACAAATGCCCGCCCACCCAACAAGAAATCAATCAACAGGCCTGCGGGGAGCTGCAGAAGTGGAAGGTCATGGAGCCAATCGACTACACGCAGCTTTTATACAGTATTGTGGAAGGGTCCGAGGATTGCGTGGAGAACACTGGTGCAGCAGCATGCCATAAGAAGCATGTTGCCGGCAAGCGAGTGGTGTTCGAGTGGACGCTGAAGACGCGACAGCAGCGCTGCTGCCAGTTCAACTTAGAACCGGGCACTCATCCGAAGTTCCAGGACTACGACCCGACGAAGGTGAGGCTGCACGACGTCATGAATGGCAAACTGCTGTTCTTGCCGAAGTGAGCTCTTGGGAGCTCCACGCGATTCTGCTTCCGCGGAAAAGGTGCGAAGCAGACGTGCTGACCGCCACGGCTCTGCATCGAGGCATCAAGGCCGCCGTTGTCTTGGGCGTGTTCTTGCAGTGACTTAGTACAAGTAGCTGAAGAGTAAATGCTGACTGAGTGAAGATTTCGCGGATTCTGGTGCTAAAAAGAGGGCAGCTTTCCTTGCCGCATGTCAGTCCGCAGGGTGAACCGTAGAGTTCTTACGCTGCGCCTAGTCATTGTGATCTTGGAAGATCGGGCTGTAGATGCGAAGCTGATTTCGATGGAAATCGAGTATTGCGCTGCTGTTCTCCATGCTACTTCAGTCATGGGTCTGTGCAGGTGCGAGCCTGCCCTGTGGAGTCATTATGGCTCAAAGACTTGTGCACGTTGCGTGTCAATTGGTCTTCACATCGTGGGCAGTTCGATGGAATGACGACGCAGGAACCTCCCAAAAGAAGTGCCGCTCCATCGCAACGCCGAGCCTGGTCTCACAGTGTGGTAGTATGTGGTAGTGCCAGCTTGAAAACCGTTGAAGCCTCAGGCAACCTTTAGAAGCATTTAAAGGTACCTACTGCAGCTGGGGACGCCTGGCGTGCGTACTGATCCTATATCGCCACGACTTTGTTTTTGCGAGGCTTCCGGCAAGCGGAGTACGTGATTGTTGGAAGCCGTGGGCGTAGGGTCCTGCACTGAGGACGGACAGCCTGGACTTCCGATCTTCGAGTTTCGAAGCCGACTTCAGCTTCTTGCGATCTCGGAGCCTTGGAGACAGAGAGCTTTCCTTTGTAGCATTCCAGCGTTGTTGTGTATTTCGCTTCTTGGAAGCCGTCGTCGTGCAATTGCGTAGCATCGCCAGCAGGCATCCTCGAACATAAGGCCTCTCCTCTTTCTTTGAAGTCGTTTTGGATTGCCCTGAAGTGTCGAGTGCCGTTGGTCAGGAACTTTTACATCTCCCGCGACGCCTCGTGTGCGGTGCCCCTGGAGGCAGGGCGCGAGGTGCCAAAGTCTCTGCGAGACAAGGAGGCGGGAGCACACAAAACGCCCTCCAGAGCATCCCGCCGTGTGTTAGCGCTACTAAGCTACTGGTGGCCCATGTAGACCAAGGTGTGCTCTGAAGCGGCTTCGCATCTTGAGAGGTGTGCAAGACAGGAGGCGTCGCGGAGGTGTGAGGGTTTGTCGGGAGGTTCTGCTGGAGCAGCGCTATGCGGTGAAACAGCTCAAGGAAGGCTTCGAGGCTTGAGCCCCAAAATGTACCCCTGCACATTTGATTTGGGCAGTGTTCGGCCAGATGTTTTCAATCGAAAGCATGTCCATAGTCCATAGTGAGCCCTACCCTAAGGTTGTCCTTTTGGAAGCTTCACGTGACCTTTGTCTGGCAAAACAGCCACAGCCCAACCAGGGTCCCAGTGGACATGGAGAAGAGCTGGCAACGCAGCCTCGCTCAAGCACGGGTAACCTATGCAGGAGCTCGAAGACATGCCTTGTCTCCACAATGCTACGAAAGATAAGGAATGAGCGAAAGACTTCTCCTGAGCGGTTTGTCATTCTCGGCTTGTTACGGCCAGGCGGTGACCAAGCAGAAAGTGGACTACTGGAGGCGTACAGATAGGGGCCAGCATCTCTTCAAAATGATCTTGACTAGCGAGACTCGGAAAGCGCTTTCGAGGGTGTTCCTTCTACATGCAGAGCTGGCATTGATTCTGCTGACATTGGGACGGGGCTTGGTGATTTGAGAGCCGTGGTGTCATGGAGGCATGTCGGCATGAAGCACTTCAACCTGACTGGTCAGGCGAGGCTCAACGCAATGCCCTGGTTGGGGCTAGTAACAAGTAGTAAAGCAGCGTTTACATGCTTTTGCATAGGTCCTTGGTGATGTGCCAAGACTGTGCGATCAAAGAAGATGACCACAGCCGCCCCTAGCAACTTCCATCGTCAACCTTGTAGATCTTATGCCCAATGCTCAACTACTTTCAAATTTCTGAATGTCCCAACGCCGCCCACTTCATCCACAGGCTGGAGAGTCTCAGTCCGCCCCTGCCGTCGAGCTACATGTGTACCCCGAGGACGTCGGCGCTCTTTGTGAACTGCCTTTTTCGATCGAGATTTGTGGTTTAAGAGAGGGCGCAGCTTTCAGCTTTTCTGCGGTAGGGTGCTGCTTGCCGAAGGATTGTCGCGACGCGCAGTCTCGATGGAAGGCCGGGGAATCCGTGGGGGTGTAGGGATGATCTTTTAACCTGCCTGGTACGTCGTCCAAGCATTCGCAGCCCAGCGAGGCCCTGGTGGTGCCGAGGGTGCGCAGCGTTTTTGGAGAGACCCTGTACCTCTGCCGTGGGGCTCAGCTTCGGGCAGCAAGAGTTCGAGTTGTGAGAGCATCAAGAGTCTTCCCTTGGCATTCGCTGAGGTGAAGTGGACGGGCAGTGTGTGGCTGAGGTCCACTTGGAGCCTTTACCCTTCCGCTTCTTTAGCATTCTGCAGAAGTGCCTCGCCGCAAGCTGCCACAAGTATCTTTTTTCGATGACAATCCGGTGGACTGGGTGATGTGCCTGTCCTAAGGTGGCAGCCGTTCCTGGAGAGGATCCGGTCCTCTCCCCACCACCTCGTGCTCTTCGCAGAGCTTGTGGTGATGGCCGGTGCTGTGGCGTTCTTGGGCATATCTGCCTACATGTGCCTAGCGCTGTGGAGATTGTGGCCGAGCAGAACTAGTACCTCCGCTGCTGAGATGGAGTTTTGTGGGATTCTGACGGCAGATGTGAACTCGAACTCCTGTGTCTGAGGCAAAGGTGCCGATGACTTCGAGGTGCCCAAGCACTACCAGCTTTTGCAGCATGCCTGGGTCTATGACACGCCCAGAGGAGTGACTGCGCCAGAGCCATTGAATGCTGGTGCCAAGATCCTGGTGCAAGAGGTCAGGGGCGAGGCGCACTGGGCCAGATAAACACCGAAGTATAGCTAGAATTCTGCAGTCGAAGGACTGCTCGCCGGGGCAAAAGTCTGTGGTGAGGCAGCACACTGGCTGAAGCTGAAGGCCTTGCAGGCTCTGGCGCTGCTGGGCTTCTGCGAGGTGCTCCTCGCAGGTTTAGCTTCCCCGAAAGCTCCCCGGTGCTGCGTGTTGGATGCTGGAGGCACCCGGCATTTGGGCACGCTTGGACAGCCCGCATGGCGGCGGCCCCAGTGGTTCACTACACATCCTATGCCAGCATGTCATCCTTACTGGCTTTTGCCCGAGGTTGGATCCTGATCTCTGACTTGAATGGCGACCGCGTCTGCTCGGAGAATGCCATGCCTCCAGCCCGCTTCGTGCCCTCGGAGCAGTTGCTGCCATCGCTGGTCCTCTTCTGCCGCAGCTGCCTGATCCTGGCTGCATGCAATGTCTCGGCTCTGTATTTCCTGGTCCAGCAAGGCATGAACTCAGCTGTGCTCGCGCTGGCCCTTGGGATGGGCATTGCGCATTGCCTGGTACTCCATCAGAAGCTAGCCTCCTGGACTGCAGGGATCCGGAACGACCAGGCGCTGGAGGAGGGCTGCCTCCTGCGTTCCCCCGAAGCTGGATTGCTCCCAAAGGTTTTTGGAGCCTTGGCTGTGGTGCTGCTTGTCGGGACTGGGGTCGCTGTTGGATCCGCCTTTGCCGTGGTCCTTATGGCGTTGGCTCTTCACACCCAGCAGCTACACGCAGCTTGTGCCGGCCTCGCAGAGTGGCGGGAACCGCAGATCCGATGCAAGGAGTACCACAAGGTTGCTACAGAGCTGCTACCCCAGTCTGTGGAGCTTCCCCAACTCTCCAAAAACCGGGCCTTGAAGCTTGCGGGCACTCACTACTTTGCTGCCTGCTTGGTGATTCTGGCTGCAACAGCCCTAGGTCTGGCTGCACTAGATAGCTGCCAGCGCCGGGGCGAACTGGTGGACTTCTCCTTCGATCGTGGACATCTTATCTATCCTGCTGAGGGCCAGGCCTTCCACAGCACCCTCCTCCTGGATGAAACCGTGGACTCCGTCGTCCTGAGCATCCAAGCAGGACAGAACACGCAACAGATTCAATTGAGCCTCGAGCACCCTCTGTTGGCCGTGAACGAGAGCCTGCACACTCTGGGGAAGGAGAAGTCCGGCGAGTTTCAGCTCTTCCTACCCGCTGGACCTCTTTATAGCCGGATCTCGCTCACTGCGTTGGCCATGGGCTCCTTGGCACACACCTCCTACGTGTTCCATGTGCTTCGGAGAGGAGACGCCGTCAAGGTGTCGATCCAGGGTAGCTTTGATCCCAAGAAGTATCCTGGAATCCGATCACAATTTGAGGAAACTCGCAGGCTTTCGTACCTGCTTGAACACCCAAACTGGTACATCCCGGACATCTCACGCCTGAATACCAACTTTGCGGTCTCCTTTTCACCGGTCATTTTTGCTCCATTGGTTGCGCAGGCGCGTGCATCTGCAGACGCAATGGGCATTGCAGATTCATGCGATTGTGGTAACGACACCGCTGGCTATGGCAATGCTTGTGCCTGGCAGAAGTTCACCAACATCTCAGGGAGCGGGGCCCGCTGCATCTTCTCGTACAAGACGCTCCCAGAGCTGGTTCTGCATCAGCCCGGCAGCGTGGCAGGGGACAGTTTTGGCCTGGCATCATGGCTAGCGGACGTTTCCGTGAGTGGGCGGAGCGTGGCTTTCCTTCCTTGGGCTGGGAATGACAGAGGCACGACGGCGGAGAGCGGTTTGATTTACTTCAATCCAGAAGAAGCATCAGACAGTGAGCGCCGGAAAAAGCTGGAGGTCACCTTCACAGTGTCAATGCCGCTGCAGCCGCTGATCGGAGAGCCTGCGCAGCTCCTGATCGCGACAACTGCGGACCCTACGGATGCAGAAGCGACCTCAATCCCTGTTGCCCTCATCCCCCACGCGCCACCCATCCGATTGCAGCCCACGGAGTTTCTCACGCCCGCCTTTGACATGCAGGACATGCAGAAAGACTATGCTTGGTGCAGCTGGGAGACTGTGCACCAGATGACTGGCCACGTCGAGGATGAGCGCTTCGCTGTGGAAGCCAGGCGCATTGACACCAAGGAAGCTTGCGAGGGTGATGTGAGAGGCATGGAGTTCCAGGCGGTTCGGGTCGGGTCCTGCATGGACTGGTGCGGCCTTTACACCCCCCGGGCAGAGACTTACGACCTCGCCGTGGTTCGATCAGGCCTCCGCTGCCTCAAGAACGCTGTCGTCGCGAACAACTTTGAAGTCCTCCAGCGGGTCATGTCGGGCAGCATGCTAAGCAGCCTGGTCTGGTAAAGGTGCTTCTCTGCAGGCCGTGTTGTCGACCTTGTGCCTCACAATTCATTTTGGCTTCGTTCCATTCCTGGTTCATGTCCCGTGGTTTTCGTTGCCCAGGTGACGACAAAAAAGCGTGCGTGCAGCAGCTGGGTCTGCTGGGAGATGCAATTCGTCGGAACCGTACTGCTGCAGCCAAAACGCTGGTGGAACACAAGGTGCGCAGAGAGTTCCTGAGACGTTGACGGTAGGTGCAAGTTGCCTTGAAAGGTGGACCCCAGCAAGGCCAGCCTGGGTGAGATGCCTTTGGCCATTGCTGCCGAAGTTGGGAACACAAAGACCCTTAACTTTCTCTTGGCACAGAATGTGTCGGTGGATCAAAGAGACTCCAAAGGGGAGACGGCCCTCTTTGCAGCCAGCAGACACTGCCGGCTGGAAAGCGTGAAGCTGCTGCTGGGGCACCATGCCAGTGCGAACGCAGAGAGCCGCCAGCGCCTCCGTGACCTTGCCGAGTGCAATGAGACCGTGCTGGTTGCAGTTCTCAAAGGCTACGATGCGGCAAGCTGCAGCGCCGCAAAGGCCTTGGATGGCGTGGTAAAGCTGCTGGAGCAGCATGGAGCCAACTTCCAAGCCAGGGGTTGCGACTTCGAAGGCAGCAGGGAGGGGGGGGAAAGGGAGGGTAAGAGACAGTGACGTCGAGCAGGCAACATGCTGAAGCACAGCCTTGTGGAACAAGACCTGACGGTGATGCGGCTGCTTCTGGAGCTGTTGGGCTCAGCTTTGCTTTAGGGGATTGTTGGGTACAAAGGAGAAGTTTACTTGTGGCCCCCCAACCGAAATCCAGAGTCGTCCTGTCGATCAAGTCAGCGTCCTGCACGGCTTGCAGGAGCGCAGGGTGGATGTCACAGGCGCCTACTCTGAGGAACTTGTTCGGGAGATGCTGACTCTTGTGCAGCAGCTGCAGCCCAGCCTGCCGGCCGGATTTCGATTTCGGGGAATTCTGGATGGTTGAGCTCTGATGGGCCACGCCTGGGGCCAGAACAAAACACGTGTTCTGCATGTTGCCTGTCTCCTATGGCCTTGCAAGGTTTCCTAGCTGCAGCCCTGAAGATGCTAAAGGAGAAGGGCATGGACCTGGACCAACAGGCGGGCGAATACAAGGCCCCTGGGCTGCCCGAAACGAACAGCTCTCTAAGAATATGGAGTTCACTTGCAGAAGTGGGAGTGCAAATCAGATGCGTCGCTGGGTTGTTTGGCTGCGGGAAACATGTTTTCTCCGGCCCCCTGCTATGCACGTGCCCTGTTGAAGCTCGCCCCTAGCAAAGCAAAGAAAAGCGCATGCGGAGGAGACCCTGCTGACGACCTTTGCCTTGATGTGCAAAGTGGAGCTGGTTCGAGTCTGCTTGGAGGAAGGCGCCAGCCCCTCCGCTGTGAATGGACGTGGGATAAACGCGTCCGCAGCCGCAGCCGCATCTCGCTGTCGCAACAAGACGGCAGAAGCCGAGCTGTTACAACTGCTCGCTGATCACAGCTCCAGTGGAGATCCCTGAAGACTGCCGGGAACAGACCCACTCGATCCTGCTCGCCCAGAGAAGAAAAGCACGCACTCTGCGCAAGCATATCTTCAAGCTATTTCTGCAGCGACAACGTCTTGCAAGGCTTTGTATAATCTCGTGGAACTTCGCGAGATCTGTGCAACTGTTCTCTCTGAAGCCTCATGATCCCCAGTCCGCGACGACAAATCCCAAGCTGCATACTCTCAAACATCAAATCCCAACCGATGGAGCCAAGCAGGCGCAGGCAACTGCTCCCTGGCGTGCATCTGCCTCACGAACCGAGAATCCGGCTAGGGAAGCATGCGGCAAACCCTGCGAGCCCAGGCTGCCGATGCCACATGAGTTTTGTTAGAAAGCGTGCGTTGAAGGCAGGGTTTATGTTGGTAGACTTTCTTGACATATTTTTGTGCCCTTCTCAGTCAGGAGCCCAGAGAAACGACCAGATAAGCAAAGCTTAGACCGACCCAGACTAGCCAGGATACTTGCGATGCCTGAAGACAAGACTAGAACATGTAGACAGATCCACAGAAATTCCATTCTGAAGCAAAACGACATCCCAAGCCAAGATACCGCAACCAGGATGTTGCGGCAGATTGGGAGATTGAGTCTGGACGCACGTTATCTTCTCCAGGTCTGTATAGCCGTGTGGAAGCGAAGTTTAGGCCACGCCTTCCGGGTCGGGATTCTCTGGACGTGTGGGTCAGTGTCGTTGATGTGGATCAAAGCCACATGACGCAAGAACAGATCCAAGAGGGTGGCAGTCGATCACAAGATGTTAGAAGAAGTCTCCCCTAACATTCTTTGACAAAGTCTATCATGCTAGGTCAATGTCAAAGTCTCAGCTCCTACACAGAGTTGGTCGTCATGCAGGCAGTGCCCATCATGTGCTGATACAGTAAGTTGAGCTGCTCCCTTCATGTCCCCGCAGCTCATGAATTCGCGCATATGGCCGAATAGGACAGGCTGTTCGTTGGCAGTCGAACTGGTGTGTGCAATCCAACAGCCCCTTGCGCAGACCAGAAATCTGAAGCCACATGACGTATATACTTGCAGTTTTCTGCCTTGAAGTTTTTCTGAAATGCCAGCGGTGCAGGACATGCGCCGTCTCACGGCTTTGGCCTTGCTGCTCTGCTTGGAGGCCAGCCCTGCACAGACGCTTTGTATCTCTGTACATGTGGGGGTTTCCGCAAATGAGGGGTACTTTATTTGCGGTCCGTATAATAAGGATCCTACTGTTTAGGGTACATATCAGGGTTCCCTATTTTCGGAAACCCCCATGTGATGGTAAGTGCAGTGAATGTCAGTTCATGGGGTGTTTGTGTGGACTCTGCCTGGTGGATGGCACTGTTGAGAAGATGCCGAATGCTGGGAGAATCTTGGCCAAAGCCTTCATGTCTAAGGTAGCCCTTGCGCAAGAGCTCGCCGTGGTGCGACCTTTTGCAAGCAGCCAGGAAATCGAGGTGCCACAGCATCAAGTGATATCAAGCAAGCAAGGCTTGTCCAGAGCTAATGCAAGCCTAGTGGTGGTGCTTGTCAAAACTCGTGGCATGGCTGCCCGTACCCTGCGAGGACATGGATGAAGCCTTTGCACTTTGGAACACGGTTTCCCCATGTGGCGACAAAGCCCTCGCCGAATTCGATTTGATTCTTGTGTCACTTGGTAGCAGGCAGATGTGGTTTGCATATGCCAATTTCCTGGGACCTCCACTCTTCGGAACAACCCAGGTATAGCAGTGACTCGGACCGACTTCATGCTACACCATGCAGTCACTACTTACTGACTCTGTGCTCCTGGGCATTGCTTCTGGATGTCCAGTACTCGTCAGCCTGTTTTTGATAGGGTTCTGCACAGATGTTGGCATGATTTCATGGTATGTAACGCCACAATACTATATTCGGACAGTGCGATAGTTATCCGATAGTATTATAGCCTAGAATACTATAGTGATTAAAATACTACAATGCTTTACTCCTACGATAGGAATGCTATAGTGCTGTACTCGTGCAATACTCTAGTCATAGTATGCCCATCAGGAAAATTTGGTCAAAATCCGGATGCGCTTGATGCAGTGGAGCGCGTCAGCACCGCCTTCCGAGAAAGAACGCAGCCGTGGCACAGGCTGGTTTTCCACTACCTGAGAACCCTAAGCCCCAAATCCTCAAACCCCAGACCTTGAAGACCCTAGGTATATAGCCTTAATATGGCTTTTTTTCTCCAATTATATAGCCTAGCCCATTATAGGGTAGGGGTCCCTATTAAGGGTCCCTCCTTTCACAGCTGCAGTTGCAAGAGTCTCACCTTGGCTCTTCTGGTGCCCTGCAGGTGTTTTCGAGAAGTGCACGTAAAGGCTGCGAACTTGACGGCTGACGAGGACAGCCCTTGTGAGTCAGAGTGTCAGAAAGGGTTTCGTTTCTGGGGGCGTTAAAGGGTAGGCTAAGCGTCCCACGTATTCAGACATGTGAGGACTAAACCCTAAAGCCTAAGCTGGGCACTTTGGGCGTGGTATGGCGTAAGAGACTGCCATCCATGTTACTAGGGTACTTCGAGCGACGGGCAGAGATCCCCCCGAGCTCAGCGAAGATGCCGGGGATGGCCGTGACGAAGTGGTGCTCCAAGGCTAAACTCTGGAGGTCTCACAAGTTGCTCGTGGAATTTGCGTCTCATCTTTGGACACTGGTTTGCTCCCCTTGCCTTTGTGAGAACCAGCTAAACTCATTTAAAAGTAGGAGGCCCATGGCCAGATCCCTAAACCCTGAAACCCGAGCCTCCCTCTCTCCTGTAGTCATCCCTGCGAAGGAACCACTCGGCCGAGGGCCTCTCTGTGTTAGTTCGAGGGTTTCTGCAGAGCGAGCTCCTTCCCTAAAGTCGGCTTTGGTCTGCGCCGTCGCAGGATGTCTATGATTCTCGCGGCTATGCCGTGCGCAAGGATTGGGTGAATGGCCCGAACAAAGTCTTTCGCCCCAGGGTTGCAATTGGGAGCTGGAGAAACCCATCTCACTATCCCGACTCAGATCATCGCAAATGCCAAGGCTACATTCTGCGCAGTTTCCTGGACAACACACTCGCCCCTGCTGACTACTATGCCTTCTATTTCATGGTGCCTTGGCCTCTCCATTTAGTGGTCTGGTTCCGAGTTCGCTGGACTTCTGCAAGCTACTGCATCGTGGAAAGTGCAGACACTTCAAACTGTTCGTACGATGCTTCTTTCCCCCAAGCCCCAATCGCGAAACCCTAACCCCTAAACTCTCAGCCCTAAGCTCTCAGCCCTAAACCCTAAACTCTCCGCCCTCAAATTCAAGTCAGGAATTTGACTCGGTCCCACTGCGAAGCCTCTGGTTGGATCAGCTATATGCGGAGGCCACTCCGGCAATGATATATAATATGCTATACTAGAATACACAACGCTGTAATGAACCATAGTACAACATGCTATAATGGACGATCTACACTATATACCATAGTACAGCATGCTGTAATCGACTTTCTATACTATTATATCCTTCAATCTGGCTCGGATCCTTTAGTTCCTTTTCCGAAGAGCGGGGTGAGGTGTCGGCATTAAGAGGGATCGGGGATTCGGAAAGGCTGAGGTTGAGCTCCCGGCTGAGTATGGGATGGGTGGGGCATCCCTCATTTGGGTGAGGCTTTAGAGTTTAGGGTCTAGGGACCTTAAACCCCTTAGTCCTAAGCCCAAGGCAGGGGCGTGGGACCCCGGTGTTTCCGCCTTCTTCTTGAGGATCTAGCTGGCCACTGCCCTCAAATGTTGGGTTTCGGAGGGTGTACTACAGTGGCCTAAATAATTTCCGACACGTTTTGGGCGTTCCTTATTATCATCATCATAAAGCAGTGGGCTCCAAAACCCTATTCTAACTATTGAGACCCCTGTGTTATGTCTGGGATCGTTCTTCTGCCTCTGTGGTCACGCTTCGTCGCTGCTGCGCTGCAAGGTCGTGATTTATCCCCGGGCCGCCATCCGTGGTAGCCGCTATCGCGGTGATTCCTGGGATCCTTTCTTAGACGAAATCTCGGCCGAGCAGCTGGGCGAAACGGTTGAGTCTTAATTTCCAGCCAGAATCTTCGGACTACTCAAAAGGCCGAGGGCCTAGGGGTCCGTGTGAGCCTGCTGAAGCCTCCACGACCGGGTTCACGAAGGCTTGACATGCACTGAACACCTGGCCCTCTCTAGTCCTTCAGGGTTCCGTGTTGAATCGACTGAAGACTTGAGTTCTGGAGATGATGGTTGTACGGGCATGCTCAGTTTCCGCAGTGTGTTGATGGCGGGGAGAATGGCAATGTAGCAGTGGGTGGGCAAGGTTGCTCCAGCACCTCAACGGCAACGCCATCTACTTCAAGCATCCGTGGCTAGAGTTCCTAGCCGATCAGTTGGAGGAGCTGCAACAACCCCGAACCCCAAACCCTTAACCCTAAACCTCTAAATCCCTGCACCCTAAATCCCCCAAACCCCTAAATCCCTAAATCCCAAAACTCTAACATCTTCTCTGCATGCGTAAAACTTCCGCTTTGGCCGCCTCGGTGCCAGGAAGATGAAGCCGAAGGTAACACCAGCGTCTGGAGAGCAGATAGTGGGATGCTTGTGATATTCAGTTAATACAACATATGATGCTACAAAGATGTAGTATGGTTCAAGATAGGCAGAGGTCCGGAATATAATTTTTTGTGATGCTGTGATGCTGCATTCACCACAGCCTAGCCACGGCCGTGGTAGACACTGTTCGAGGTACGGCCTTCGACGTACGCATGGCGGCATTGACTCTACAGGCATCTCTGGAAGCGGCAGACAATGCCACTACATCCCTGGCTGCCGCATGGAAGCAACACGTCCCAGAAGGATGAAGGGAGGGCAGGGGCATGACTGAAGCAGTCCTCACGCCAGGATGCGAAAGTCCATTCCGTCTCGTGCAGGAGAGCAGCCATATCGGGATGACTCTCTGCTGGTTGGAAACTATGCCAACACGTTGCTGAACAGAAGCTTTGATGCCGGTGAACTTGTGCCATGGACGCTTTACCTTCTTTCCCCTTTCTGGCTGCCTTGGATGTTTGGGTTTTTGCGTCTTGGTTTGGTGAAGTTCGAGATGTGCTGCTCCGCCAGGTGCGTCATGCGGCTCTGAACAACTTGCTGCACAATATCAACCAATCTCAGCTCACTTTAGCCGTGATCGCCTATGACGATTGGTGGGAGTCTAAGCTCCTTCAGAGCCTGGAGTGGGCACACCACCCTTTCCGAGCTTCGACGACATGAAGAATAGTTAGGAGGTTTCCGAAAATTTGGGACCCTCATATAATGCCCTAACTAGTAGGATCCTTGTTATAAGGACCCCAGAATAAGGTATCCCTAATTTTCGGAGACTCCCAGTTCGATGGAGAACTCGGGCAGAGATTGACACAGTTTCCTCAGCACTGTCAGGTAGCGTCGTGATCTTGGCGGACGGGATCGGAGAGAGCACCACAGAAATTGAAACTCCCGGAGGTGGGGCTGACTCTTTTGGCTGCTGACTCGTTTGGCTGCTGCCCGGCATGGGGTTCCAGTGCCCCTGTGGCAGGTCCGACTCTCTTGAAAGAGAAGGCTTGGGATGGTTGGGCAGGAGGATCGGAGCGAGTGCTTTGCGATGCTGCATCAGCAGTCACCACGGAGCAATTTGTGCCACTAGTCTGCCCTCCATGAAACGGTCTCTTGAGGTTATTTATATGTCATCTTACTGAAGCTCTGCACCGAGGTTTACCGACACCTACCACTTCATTTCAGGGCCAGTGCAGCTTTTGGTGGACGATCAGGGCCATCCTGTCCTGCCCTACATACCGTCCTCCTCGAGCTACTGTACTCGGCACCGGGAGTGCTCGTCAGCCTTGGACCAGGCGAGCTTGGTCAAAGCAGCCACATCTAGTACATAGTTTGAAGCACATAAAGAATATATCACATAGTATATGACATACAATATACAGTTATACATTATGCGATATATAACATATAGTCTATCATGTACTGTATACATAGTAGAGTTAGATATGTACTCCCACTGAACCCTAAGGACCTAAGCCCTACAGGGCCGAACTCCTTTTGTTGCAGGCCGAAACGTTCTTTGGAGTCGAGCTGCTTTATCACCACGACACCTTTGAAACGGTCTTCGTGACCGAGGATGTCAAGACCTTCTGTGCGGACTGGGATGTGGCAGCCGCCTATCTTGGGAGCTACGAGAACTGCGACTACCTGCTCGGCCCAACGGCAGATGACTACATTGCTTGGTCACGCAGCTGCTATCACATGACAGGTTTCAGAAGCCAGTGACCCATGCGGAGCAGCATCACTATTTTGCGAAGCCCTGCCACAGATACATTTCAAGCATTGGCCCCTTGCATGTTGCGCATGCCTCTTGCCACTGCATTGGGCACGTGCCGGTGCTCAGGTTGATCTCTACGAAGAGGCCGTACAGGTATATGCCGAAGAACAAGGACGGTGAGACAGGGATGTGTGCGGCCAGACGACTCGATGTGAACGGGCCAGCATGACTAATCAGAGAGAAGCCCCCGACTTACCAGCTACTCGGATCCATAAAAACGCGCGGCGCAGCAAGGGTTACGACCCCACCATTCCCACTTCTAGATCACGTCAAGAGAGCTGCCCTTTCACATGCTCAGTTGGCAAACTACGTCATTGCGCTGCAGTCGAATGTTTGTCTGAAGACGACGTTTGTGTTCCGAGGTTATTTGCGGTTGTAACAGACCTCAGGTTGGCTTCTCCTCAGATGCCGCTAGACTCCGTACGGCGGCAACCCAGTCCTGGGTCTTCCATTCGTGATGGAAGCCTAAGCCTCTTAAACTACACCTACCCTTTCGATACATCGTATACGAACTCAAACCCTCCTTAACCCCCAGTAAGCCTTTCAATACATCCTGTAAGAACCCCACGTGCTGAACCTCAGATCGACTTCTAAAAGGGAACCCTTAAAGAAGCCCTTAGAGGAGCGCTTAAAGGAGCCCTTAAGGGAACCCTTAAAGGTACCCTTAAAGGAGCCCTTCGTCCCGACAGGAGCGGGTCGGCTGGAGGCCTTGGACCTCGCTGTGGACTCCACCTCCACTTGACGAGCGCGACTGCGCCTTGCACAACTCAGTAGGGCGGAGCCTAGGAGAAAGGGTTTAGGGATTTGGGGGTTTAGGGTTTAGGGATTAGGGATTTGGGGGTTGAGGGGTTAGGGTTTAGGGGTTTAGGATTTCGGGTTTTCAGGAACCTGAAGTCCAAACCTGAACGCCAAAGCTGCGCAGGCAGCCTCTACCGGGAAGGTGAGTACATGGCCCGGCTCGCCAGCATTGACGCTCCTCGTCCTGACCCTTAGACCCTAAACCCTGAACCTTGCACCCTGAATCCTAAATCTTAAACCTTAAACCCTAAATGAGAGACCGCAAACCCTAAACCTTAAACCTTAAACCGCGGCCGTTTTTGCCGAGCTTGGCTCCAGTGGAGAATGCCGGGAGCTTCAGAAAACAAGGGCTCCTTACTATTGGGAACCATATTCCTCAGATTATGGGAGGATACCTAGTATGATTTAAGGCATATTCCTTCATGAAGTAGCGAGGATCCTCATTGAAAGGGCCCGCAAAAAGGAACCCCTACTCTTAAGACTCCCTGGGCTCGAGGAATGCAGTTTCTTCATGGAGGATGCCCGTGCCTGCGACTTCAGCCCGAACTGCACCTTCCGACCTCTCTTTGAGTCTGGCAACACGGCTCTTTACTGTTCTTAGGAATTAGGTTTTAATTTTCGCATAATACAGCTTAAAGGGATTAATACGAATATTGTTGTTATTTTGGTTCTGAGGGCGGCTAGGGGCTCAGATCTCACAGGTCCGTCCGGGGTACTTTTGTGAAGCACGAGATGCCCCAAGCTTTAAATCGCAATCCCGGTAAGAGCTAGACACTCACACCTGCAGGCTAACCCCATAAATCCCCGAAAGCCCTAAACCCTAAACCCGCAACCTTAAACCCCAAAGCCTAAGAACAAAAGCACCCCAACACCCTTCAAACCAAAACCCTAGCTCCGAGGTGGCAGTTTCCGAAAGTAGGGGACCCTAACGTACTTAAAGGATCATGGGACTTAGTCAGTAGGGTTATAAGTACCTTAATTGGGGTTATAAGCATAGTTACGTTACTTATAACCCTAGTTACTAAGTCCCATGATCCTCTAAGTAGTACTCTAAATAGTATCCTTTTTTGACAACGACACGAAAGTAGGTACCCCTAATTTTCGGAAACTCACTAAACCTTATAGATCCCTTATAGGAACCCTTAAAGGAACCCTTATAGATCCCCGTAAAGAAGCCCTTCATTTTCGGAAACTCCCAAACCCTAAACCCCATAGATCCCTTCAAGGAACCCTTAAAGGATCCCTTTAAAGGAGCCCCGAACTTTCGGAAAGTTCCCAGGTAAATGCATGCAGACGAGGCAGCTCCTTGGATGTCGTTTCGGAGATCCTCGGTGCTGTTCTTTAACCTCGGTCCGATCCCTGGGTACCTCTGATCCACGGCATATAAGACCTGCTAGAAAGATATAAGAACCCGTATAGCCGTATAGGTAGCGCCGAGTTTGAGAAGATAGTTCAGATTCAGATTGCATCGTCCATGACATCGAGTGTCAGTTACATGAGCAAGCAGACACCGGCGTACTGACTCAGGTTCGAATTGTTACCTCGCCCTCCGATTTCGTTTACATGGAGCCCCGGTTGCAATGGTTGGAGATCCATGATCGAAAAGCAAGAGATGGCCGCTCCCACGAATGTGTTAGCGCAAAGTCAGCCTTTCGCTAAGGACTTCCACCACAACGCTTTCAGCGACCAGGTTTACAAGCACAGACACAGCAACCGCAACTGCCACTACCACCTCTTCAACAAGTGCGTCAACAACAGCTTCTTTCACAACCTCCACATCCACAACCAGCTCTTGGACTCGGACACGAACGAGTACTGCCACGTCGTCAACGACATTCCTTCCCACTTCTGCAACATGCCGGGTACCGGACATTGCAGGAGCCGAGGCTTGCTACTCACTACAGCCTGGAGAAACTTGCCAAGTACCTTGCCCCGTGGGCTATCAGGGGGAGTCTTCTGAGTACACCTGCTTAGAGAACCTGACCTTCGCTGGCGAGCAGCCGGAATGCATCAGGACCCCGGAAGCTGACGCGAAATCTTACACGTAAACCAGGTATCAGGTCAAACAGCGCGAGTGAACTGCATGCGTTTTTCGCTTCTTTTCGGTCATTGTGGACCGAGTTCGCGCGCATCGACAGTAGAAAGACTCGTTCTTCTACTTGTGGTCGCAGGACAACTACCTCAATCACAGAAGAAGGCGACCGTCGATGTTCGACGGGCCTTCCGATGACTCCTGGCGCTGATGTCAGCGATTGCTTCGGCATCGCCGCAGGTGGGAGATCATCTACGGGAGAACGTCTGCCCCGGGCCGGGGTCTCGCTGGAATGTGCTCTTGCCATACACCCCAAACCCCAATAGTACTAGTCTCATCTAGTATCCGTATTTTGGTTCGTTTCAGAGTCGCCACAAATGTTGACGAGTTGGACGTCCCTCAGAAAGCTTCTTCCCGCGACTTTCTTGCATGTGAGCTGCTGTCTGCGTAGAATATCGCTCTGGGACCGTGATCTCCTAAACCCCAAACCCTAAATCCTAAAGCCTAAACCCTAAAGCCTAAAGCCTAAACCCCAAACCCTAAACCCTAAACCCCAAACCCTAAAGCCTAAACCCTAAACCCTAAAACCCTTTGAGCTCTGCTCTGAACCTCCACTTCGCGACCCAAGCCCCCTTTAGGATCTCAGCTAAGCATCCGGCGCTCTCAGCCTTAAACCCAAGGCCCCAAAGCCCCATACCGAAGACCTTAAATTCTTACACCTTCGTGGAAATCTTGTCGGGGGGCTTCGGGTTCCTCGGTGTAGGGTTTAGGGTTTAGGGTTTGGGGCTTAGGGTTTAGGGGTTTAGGGGTCTTATACGGTTTAGGCCCAGCCGTGGCAGGGGCAGCTTGCACGGTTCGCTGCTCTGGCAGCTTTGCGGGCTCTCCGGTGCAGTGTCTCGGTTTTTGTTAAGGAGCTTAGTCCAAGTCTCTATCAATTTGGGTTTGGGTTTTCAGGTTTCGGGTTTAGGATATATAGTATATGAACTCCGGTACTTTCTGACAGTTCCATGAAGTTCCTGAACAAGAACGCAGGTATTACTGCGCTGCAGACGGCGTCTTTCGACCCACGGGGGCTGCTTTGGAATGCCAGGCGCGAAGATGTCGGAGCCGAACCACCAAGCCCAAGTGCCGGACACGATTCGGAGCTTGAAGGAACCCTTGAAGGAAGCCTTGAAGAAGCCCTTAAGGGAACCCATGTCGGACCTTGCCCTCAACTCTCTAACCCCGACCCAAGCTGAGACCTTCTGTCTCAGCGAAGCAGAGCGCAGCTCCTCTTAAAGGATCATGGGACTTAGTAAGTGAGGATATAAGGACCTTAATTGGGGTTATAAGTATAGTTACGTTACTTGTGACCTTAGTTACTAAGTCCCATGATCCTCTAAGCCGGATTGCGAGTTCTGGCAAGAGCCCAAACCACAAGCTGAGAGACACAGCCGAGGTTCCTTCCCTCACAAAGGGCCCATGATCGAAGCAGCATACTACAGGGGCCTTAATAATTAGAAAGGGTTTTGGGGAAGATTATACTATATTTATAATAACGGAACCCCAACATAGCATGGGTAACTACTTAGGCCCCTTTATTATTATTATTATTAGTATTATTATTAGTATTATTATTAGTATTATTATTATTATTATTTTTAGTAGTATTATTGTTATTATTATTACTATTCTTATTATTACTATAATGGTTATTATTATACTAATTTTTATTATATTTATAATAATTGTTATAATTGTAATAATAATAACTATTATTATAAGTATTATTATTAGCAGCTAACGAGTGCCCAGAGCCAGGAGAGGTTCTGCGACACGTCTCAGTTGCCGAGCGGCTACGACGTCGCTTCCTGCGCGCAGTCTGATCCCCAGTTCCCAGAGCTCCAACACCTTAAAGGGATCTATAGAGTTCCTTTAAGGGATCTATATAGGGTTCCTTTAAAGGGGTCCTTTAAGGGTTCCTATAAGGGATCTATAGGGTTTAGGGTTTGGGAGCTTCCGAAAGTTCGGGGAAACCTTGTTTTGGGCTCCTTATAGTAAGGATCCTACTATTTAGGGTGCTAGATTAGGGTCCCCCATTTTCGGAAACTCCCATATCCCGAAATTAAGGAAATTTCTTTAAACCATATAAGGGATCCTACGAGAATGTAAGGCATATTCCTTAGCTAAGGGATATTAGAGTCTCGATTTCAAGTTGACGCTTCATGCTCTAGTGAACGCTACAACCCTACCGCTGCCTATCTGAGGACATCTGTTGGGGAGGTATGCTTCGTGAATCTCTGATGCAGTGATCACGTTCTTGATGTCCCCCGTCATGTTCTCCTGCCCGCATACTTGTTACGCGCAGTGGAGCAGTCAGCCTGTACTTTTGTCCCTGCGCGATGTGTTGCACGAAGCCTTCTGACATGTCTTTCAGTGAGGAGATGTCCAGACGGATATCTTCCAGCAGAGTCGCTGTACGTATGCGGAGCAGATGGTCTTTTCCTGGGCTTTCCGCCAACTTGCGAACTCGCGGATTCTGGGTTATTCTTCAGGCACTTAAGTTACCCTGATGGGGATCTATAACAATAATATGGTGTATTTTGGTTCCCTTAAGAAGAACTCAGGATTGCAGCTCGGATCTCTCGACCAAGGCAGGGGACCTTAGCAGAAACTTCTCTGACTGCTCTGGAATCCTGGCCGGGAGTGACTGCATCGTCCGGTGCGCGTTTGGCCACGAAGGGGATCCAGCAACGTACACCTGCCTGCCGGATGGTACGCTTGCAGGACCTGTTCCAGGTGTCCCTTGCCAGCCGAAGACCTGCCCTGTGCCCGATGCTCTGGCAGATCCCAGTTTTGGAACAAACTGCATCGGGACCCGTCATGGCGAAACTTGCCGGGCTGCATGCAGTCCTGGCTTTTCTGGATTGTCGGAGCAACTGCGCTGCGACAACGGGGTTTTGCAAGGATCGCTGCCGAAGTGCACCGGATTCCCTTGCTCCCTGGAGGGTGTGCGGCTGGAGCCAGGCATGGATGCAAGCGACTGCACAGGGAAGCGATCTTTGGAGGAGTGCTTTGTCCAGTGCGGCCGTGGATTCTCCAGCCAAGGAAGTCCGGTGATGACCTGCCAAACGAACGGCAGATTCACCCAACACTCGTTAGTCTGTACTCGGAGAATTTGCGGAGACTTGTCTGCCGTGCCGGGGTTCAGCGATGCTTCTGTCGTAAACTCTTGTGCTGGGCGTGGATTTGGTGAGGTCTGCTCTGCATTCTGCCGCCAGGGTTGGGAGTTGCAAGGCAATGCCACTGTCCTTGTTTGCGACGATGCACCGGATAACAGTGCAGGATTCTCTGTGTACTTCGAAAGCGATGGCCGATTGGTCCATGCCGCTGAAGCTGGCGGTCCTTTCTGCAAAGCACGCCCTTGCACAGCCAACTTGCCAAACCTGCAAGGTGTCCAGCATGACTGTGCAGGGAAAACAACGCACGAGACCTGCACAGTGCAGGCAGCTCCGGGCTATCGCTTTGAGTCTGCCGCGCCTCAGCTCACGGCAACTTTGGTCTGCCAGGCGAACGGCAGTTTTGCGGGTAGCATCCCTCAGATCCTGGCGGACAGCTGTCCTGAAGTGCAGTTCGGGCCAGGAGTGGGCAGCACTTGCAGCAATATTCCAGTCGATGGAGAATGCTGGGCGTATTGTGAAAGTGGATGGTCGGGACTACCCCGGAAGTATCATTGCCAGCTGAGTGCAGATGCTTTGGAGCTCCGGGCTTTTGAGCAGGACATCAACTGCACAGCTGCGAGGCGCCTGGAGGCATCGGAACCCGGCGCCTGCTTTGACGACGCCATGGGGACAGCCTTGCACCGAAGCAGCACAGGGGCTTCCGAAATGCTAGCCTATGAGATGCTGTCATGGGTGGCCCTAGGACGTTTGTCAAGCTATAGGTCATCTTTGCGAACAGCCGAATGTCGACAGCGTATTCGTATCTGAGTTGCTCGAGTCTGTTACCCAAGGTCCCTGCCAGAACTAACGCACTCCTGCAGCGAGATGCTTCACGGGGAGGTGTGTGTTGTTCATTGCAGCACAGGCGGGGACAAATCCCAGCCCGGTGGGTGAGTAGAACTCCCAAACCCTAAACCTAGCACCTCAACACTAAAACCCTCAACTTGGCCTTAAATCCTGAACCTTAAAACGCTCGAGCCCTGAACCCCTAAACTTGGCCCTTAACCCTAAAGCCCGAAGCAACCCCAAAGCGCAGAGAAGTGTAGGATCCATGAAAAGGCTGGGAGATGGTCGAGCCGAGTCCAACGATCATCACCTGCGACAACGCATCTTTGGTTGGAGGTGCTCCCCAGAGCAGATGCATGCTGTTTAGGGTCTTAGGGTTTAGGGCCGGGGCTTTAGGGTGGTTTAGGGTTTAGGGGCTTTCAGGTTTGAGGTTCAAGGTTTAGGGTTAAGATGTTTCGAGGGTGTTTCAAGCTTTTCCCGGACTTGCATCAGAGAATCAGTATCTCCAATATCTCTCTGCCTTCTGAGGACCTTTACCCCACTGTCGCCCAAAGCAGTGCGACTTTGGACTGCCGAACACTTTGGGGGTGAGCTCGAACTGCAGCGGAGCCGTGACTGGCGAGCGCTGCCTGGTTGTTTGTGAAGAGGCGGGTCACCGAAGAGTTCCGCTTTTGCACACCAGTGTCCAGAATGTCTCATGTTGGTCTAGATGGCAATATCACTTTAACTTTGCGTGATGGCCCGCTCTGATGAAGAGTCAAGTGGTGATCAACAAAGGACCGGAAACACGAACGCCAGCTCTTCTCATGACTGCTCCGAGCGTCTCATGTGCGTGCTTTAGCAAGCTTGCTGACAGAATTCCAAAGTTGCTCTGCCTTTCCGTGTGCCTTCGTCGTCAAATCCTTCTTTGAGGTTCCTTAGCTCTCCTGCTTTCGCCGCGAATTCACCCCCTTCTGCTGTAGAGAGTTGCAATGAAGTCGACAAGCATGAAGTCACGCAGCTGCATCAACAGTGCTGGACGAAATCCATCGGCATGCTTCACATTCGTATATTGTGCCCAGAGAGCGAAGAGTCTACGCGTTGTCGCCTCACCGTCGCTCTCATGCCAGACCAGAAGCATAAGTGAGCCACTTGAGCTGCTTAGAACCCGGCCACAACAAGAACGTCGACCCAACACTCAAAATTAGCATGCTGCACCCGCCAGGGGTATTACTCTGACTCTGATTCTGGACGAGAGCAGTTCCTCTGCACGGCTGCGGGATCTTTTGCAGGTAACTCGGCGCTTGATGCGATCCTGGAGAGAGGGGCTTGGAAAGGGCATCTCATGAGTGAGGGCTTTTCGCAGCAGATGGAGCATTCCTTGAAAGGTAGAAAAGGGGCCCTAATAATTAGACTAGGGTTTTGGGGCCCTTCATACTATGATCACAATAATAAGGAAGCCCCAAAATAGTAGAGATAATTTTTGCGGCCCCTATGTTGTGGGTCGCACTCAGAACTGTCGAATGAGTCTCCAGATGAGCTGACGTCCCCCAAGGCTGCCCCAAGCCCGAATCTAAAACGCACACCCCAAACCCCAAATCCTGAGCCCTGAACAGCTGGAATCCCTAAAGCCCCCAAGAACCGTAAGCACTAACCCCAATCCCTAGACCGTAAATCCTAGCCTCACACCTACACCTCCAACCCGCAAGCCCTAAACCCGAAGGCCCTGAGCCCTAAACTTGAATCTCCAAAACCCCAAAACCCTGGGTCGTTGTCAAAACAGGGGCACCTTTTTAGGTACCCTAAATAATAGGTGCCGTATTATAATAAGGGACCCTAGTTTTGACACAATTAAACTGCTATGTTTTCCTGTCGTCCTATCGCCGTGGCAGGTGAGGCTCCGGATTGCCGACGTGTGTCTTGTGCAGACCTTGAGCTGGGAGCTGACTTTCAACACAACTGTCGTGGGACGCTGGGGCTTCATAGGGCGGTTATAGGGTGGTTGTCATTAGGGTTTTAGGGTTTAAGATGCTATAGGATTGCTATAAGGATTTGAAGAGGCTGCTATGAGGATTGAAATTCCAAGGCAGGGTGGATAGTATGGGTGCTAGTGAGAGCTTTAGAGGGGTTCTGTAAGAGCTTTGCACTGGTGTTGCAAGTAGGCCCCAAACCCTATACCCTTATAGAATCCCTAAAGAATAAAAAGGGACCCTGAAACGAACCCTGAAAACTACCCCTGAACCTCGAAGCAAAGGTTTCAATAAGAGAGAAGCCTAGGGTTTTTTCCGAAGCTTTTCTTCAACAGTCTCCTATCCCATGGGCTCTCTACTAGGGGTCTTCCTATGGTTTCCATATGGCTCTATAAAAAGGGGACCCCTAATATAGTACGCTAAATAGTAGGATCCTTACTATAAGGAGCCCAAAACAAGGTTTCCCCGAACTTTCGGAAACTCCCAAACCCTAAACCCTATAGATCCCTTAAAGGAACCCTTATAGGAACCCTTAAAGGACCCCTTTACAGGAGCCCCTAACTACATTTTCGGAAACTCCCCATATTGCCAGCCCTTGAACCCAGGAAGCTCTTCGGAGAGAGCTGTGTGGTGACCTGCGCCGCGGGTTTTCATCTCTCCGGCTGGGGAGCTTCCTTTGTCTGTGCTGGAGATGGGAGATTCTGGGCGCTTGTTTAGGGAATTTGATGTACTCTGCCATGAGAAGGGTTCCTTTAAGGGATTTATAGGGTTCCTTGAAGGATTCTATAAGGGTTTAGGGTTAATTATGGAATTTAATTCAACTTACAAAACCACAGAATTTAATAAGAACCCAGGATATCAGGGCCTTCTGCCTCTCTGCCAAGCTACAGCTTGTGCAAGATTTGACGACCTGAACTTCGTCTCGACCTGCGATTCTGTGGTGACGAACGGGAACTGCAACGTGTCATGCGGGTCCGGGTTTGAGGAGAACTCGTCTGTTCTCACCTGCGATGCCGCCGGCACCTTGGTGGGGCAGCTCCCCATTTGCAAGCCAGAGGCATGTGCAGTGGACCCGAGCTTGCAAAGCGCTTCCTACAGCCACGATTGTCTAGCACTTCCCTTCGGTCGCTCATGCAGTGTCGTCTGTGCCGACGGGTATGAGCCTGACACAGATGAAGGGCAACAAGTGGAGCCAGGGGAGCAGTGGCAGTGCGGGATCAACGACACACACGCATCCCACCCAAGGCTTACCGGGATTCTTCCGAGCTGTCGTCCAGCAGCATGCGATGCTGGATATCCTCTCCAATCTCCGGCTACCAGGGACAACTGTACCGCGATGCTTACAGGTCAGATCTGTGTGCAAAACTGTGCTACCGGCTTCGTTCCCAGTGACGCGATCGTCGACATGTTCCGCTGCAATCCTGATGCTAGGTTCCTGTTAAGGAGTTTAATTCAAGTTACCATAGTAGGGATCTATAGTAAATAACATGGAATCTTTATTACTGTAACCTCAATTAACCCAGGATGGCGTTCTCATTTCCATTTCTGGAGAAGCCTTGGCTTGACTCTTTGCAGCACGAAGACAGGGTCGCAGCACTACTAGTCAGCTCCGGTGTCAGCTTAGGTAGCATGGTCTAGTCTAGTAGGAATATGTAGATTGTGTATTCTGTTCTTATATTATGTCACTATAGTATAAAATAGTATATTATATATTATACTGTCTAATATTATGGTTCAGGCCGAGTGGCCACTTGCAAGCTCACACCACTCGGGCCTGGCATCGTGACCACTTGCGCTGGAGCGTCCTGGCTGCATGAGTGGAAGCCCCGGCAGACATGGGAAGCTACGTAACCTAGGAGGCCTCACATTTACGTTCAGGGTTCAGGGTTTTAGGGTTTAGGGTTTAGGTTTTAGGATGAGGATTCTAAATAGTAGGATTCTTCTCATAAGGACCCCTAACCAATGCATCTCTGTAACAGACACCCCGGTTGCACCGTCCTTGCAGGACCTCCGGGGTCTATTTGGCCTGTTCCGTGCTTTGCATCGACCAAGGAGGTTCCAATCAACAGCATCTGCAACGCCTTCTGCTCTGCTGGGTTTCGATTGGAAGGCCCCGTGCAACAGTGGAGATGTGATGGACCGAGCAGCAACTTCTCTGCAGAAGGGAGACCTCGAAGGGCACGTGGCACTGGTTCTTGTAATTTCCGAGTTCATATGAAGTTGGCGTGCATGGAGCAGCTTCGCAAAGGTGAACTCCCAGCTTTGGACGGCAGTGACCAGGAGAGTTATCTGTTGATGTTGTGCTGGTGTAGTATGGTGCAGTACTCCGCTAAAGCGCGCAAGAACTTATTACGCATGTCCCGCCTGTCGAGGACGTTGCGCTGCGAGGACACCTCCCAGTATCTTGCATGCGACAAGGATGTCCGAAAGAGAATCCATGCATTGGCATGTGCAGCATGACTTGCAAGGCCTGCGTGCCCGACGCTTGTGCCTACAACATCCCGTGGGAGATCGATTTTGACAACAACTGTTCGTCAGTACCGTCGCTGGGCCCAAGCGAAGCATGTGTCAGTCTCTCTAAACTCTGAACTTACCTTGACGTGAAACAGAATTGGATTGCAGTTAGTGTTTGCGTCCTGCAGTCTGTTCTGGATGCACGAATTCGCCGTTGACCAAAACTACCCAGCAGGGCATGCAATGTAATTTGCCCACGGACCCACAGGGTTACAGGTTCTTTGTAATTAGCCTCACACACGCCTTGCATCCGCTTTGTTGTGGCGAGGACTGGCTCCTTCTGCTTGGTTGCTTGCCCTGGCGATGGTAACAGCAGCTTGCTGCGCTGCGCCGAAGATGGCTCCTTACAAGGGGCTTTGCCTCTTTGCAACGAGGCGGGCAGTGCATCATTAATGTGCACGTTCGCCCTCATGATTTTTTTGTCACTGGGGGTGAGGGAAAGAGTCTTTCAACTCTTCGCCTAACAAGCTGCCGAATCTGCCAAGCAGGTGCCACAGAGTTCCAGCGAAACCACCACCAGAACGCAGACGGTCTGTTCCTCAGAGAAAGCTGCAAACGAGTACTGAAAGCATCTTGCACGGAATGCGTGCTGAATGCATTCAGTTAGCATGAATGTTACTCGCTGTGTTCGAGTACGCGAGACAACTCTCTCTCTCTCTCTCTCTCTCTCTCTCTCTCTCTCTCTCTCTCTCTCTCTGATGCCTTGTAAACGTCACGCCTTCAGGACGTGCCAGTGCTGTTGCAGAGCACAGTGCATGTAAATCACATTGCCGAGACGACGACTACGCGCGTCATCGTCCTTGTTGGAAAGCTGACGGTCCAAACGTGGCTCGGGGCAAGATCGAGAGTGGGTCGAGAACTGACAGCTTACTGTGTTATTGCTTGCTGCACTGCTTTGCTGCCTTTCCTTTAAGTGGACTGCATCCGACTGCATCCTGCAGCAGTACTGTACGCAGGATTTAATCCTGTGAGCAGATAAGGTGCTGTATATACATATATATATACACATGGACACACAGTATATCCATATATATTATCTATATATATATAGATATATACATGTAATATATGTATACATATATATAGCAACATTGATATCCTGTTGTGATTAAGCCCGAGGAATTCTCCAGACGACCTCGGAGATCCAGAGGTCAGAGCAGGCCAATTTTCGTGGAAGCTATGACTCGTGTACGAAGTCATGGACGTCCATTTGCCCATACTGTTTCGAGGGTTTCCGAGAATAGGAGACCCGAACATCGTAGCCTAAATAGATCTAAATAGTAGGACCCTGATTTTCAGGTCCCTTTACAACTGTGTAGCAGTCAATGAGTCTTTCTGTCGTTTGATATCAGATACTCAAATTTTTTCTGTACTCCTTGGTTTGATGTCATCAGATTTTTCCCTCTTAAACCGCTTCTGTGTGGTAAGCATCCTCTGAAAATGGCTTGGTTCTGATTCCAAAGACGAGTGTATGGACCTCCACGAAGATTACTCTGTGTATTGACGAGGCGGTACCGTTCATCAGCACGAAATCGGGCGTGGAGTGTTCATAGCTGCAAAGCTTTTGACGGTAAACAAACATAAACGTCGGCTTGTCCAATCTTGGGTACACCACTGGTAACTGACTTCTACCTGTCACTTCTTCGTCCGGGAGCATCGTGGCGACATCAGACAGTGGCGTGTTGTAGATACTAGTAGCAATTCGAGCATGAGTTCCCACAGAGATGGGTGTGTCACACATCCAATCACAAAAAAGTAGGCTTCTGCAGACGACTGTCGTGCTACCTCACGACGGCATCGCGTTTCGGGAGTAAGGTTATTGTACTGCTGCAGTAGGAGCTCGAACACGAAAGGCTGAAAGCGTTCATTGCGTACCACATGCAGCTTTGACATATTTAGCCATGCTCATGTCCGTCTTTGCCCCTATCTCTGTAGCGAGTGTCTTGGGTGTACGCGCCTGCGCGCTTGAGCTTCTCAACGTACCCTTGCAGGTCTGACACGCACGCTGGCTCAAGTGCTCGAAGTCAGCCCCGAAGATCTGGAGCTCGTTGTTGAAGCAGTTCAGGCTGGAGCTGGAGGGAGGTTAGGCCTCAAAGAGTGGATCCGTGGGGTTTTTGTGCCAGGACAGGTGGATGACCATGTTGTGCCACGGGTTCTCTGGGCTTGTATACAAGTAGCACAGTCCTCATCTTTGCCTGGAAGTGCGGGAGTCGAGCCCACTGCCTGAGTGGAGTTTGACTTGTGTTGCCTCGCAGGGCAGCGCTGACCTCGCGGAGGTTCAGTTCAGTTCTGCCACGGCACCGACCGTGGTGCAGCTGCAAGAACTCCAGAGAACAGCCTTCGCAGAGGCCTGGCCTGCCAGAGTTGCATGGTGCAGTGTAACCGTGTCTCAGCACATGCTCCTCAATGTGTCATGACAGGTCGGAAGAGCTTTCGCAGCGGAGTTCGTGAACTACACAGAGGCAAAGGTTTCCGGCATGCAGCAGGAATCACATTGACATGAGATCGTCAGATGCGAAAGTCGGTCCAGGCATCCAGCAACGCCGGTTTTTGTCACACGTCCGTCGGACATTACAACCTGTACTGCATGCACACTGGAAGGAGCAGCGAAGCAGAGCAGGTGTTGTGGCTAATGAAACACGACGAGGACCAGAAGTATCCAGAATTTGCCTGAAATTCATGAGGCAACAGATTCAGTAGATCAGTAGATGCGATAGCAAGGGAGCTCGGACCAGCCACCTTGACGTTTCAGAAGTTTGATGTCGTTGCACATTTAAAGCCACTCTTTTCGACCTTGGTTGTTTTTGCACAGTGGAAGCTCTAGTGCAGCTCGATTGCATCCTCTGTGACAACAAGCCCTGAGACTGAAACGAATCCGATCCGCTAGGCCGAGATCGCTGCTGTGGGCCCTCTGGTCTTGGCAGTCCAGCTGGGAAACGAGACGCTGGAAGTGACTATCGCTCCCCCGGAGGTTTCCTGTCTCTTATTGTGCTAATAATGGTAATGGCAGTAATAGTAGTAACAATAAGAGGGTCCCTCCCTCTCCCTCTCCCTCTCCCTCTCGCTCTCGCTCTCGCTCTCCCTCCCCCCCTCTCTCTTCAACAACGACAACAACAACTCTCTCTCTCTCTCTCTTTCTCTCTTTTTCTCTTTCTCTCTCTCTCTATAGTTATATACATATGTAGCTATGCACTATTCGAAGCTCCGTGTCATAGGCGATGGGAAGCTTGGAAGGTTCGCAGCGATGGGCAAGACATCGTAGCTTCAGTCGGAAACAGGTTGCGAATGCTTGCAGGCGGGAGGCGTCTCAGAGCAAACGCATTTGTTACACTGCACCAGTAAGACGAAAGTTAAAAGCTTAATGCTGCGGTCGGACGCTGACTGATCCGTCGTGGTATGCCATACTATGATATACTACAATCCACTATAACAGTACAGAAATCTACTACAATCTTGTCAAAGTTGTCAGAGCTAAGGCATCGCCGGACTCCTTGCAGCCTCCTGGCGGAGGACACATAGGCACAGGTCCTTTTGGGAGTGATAAGGCCGGTGAAGCCCGGCTTGAGCCGCTGTTCAAAAGATTGCAAAAATGGGGACTTCAACATAGTGCTCTAAATAATAGGATCCTCATTATAAGGACCCCGAAATAAGGTACCCCTAATTTTCAGAAGAAAGAGAAGCCTAGTCGCTGTCGTGATCTTGGTTGGCCTTGTGCACTCTGGCAGACACTAAGGTTCACGACGACAATGACCGCCTCAGCGGGTGTGTTGCTTCTCTGCTGTGCTTGCACGGGCTGCTTCATCAGACGCTTGACTTGAGAAAGCTGCTGTCTGACAGGGGGCATTCTTTGAGTCAACTTTGTCGAAGACGCCCTTCTCATCCATGTGGGTGGTTGTCAACCTTATGGTCCCTTTTTGGGTCCCTAAGAAAGTACGGCACCTAAGGTTTCGGGTACCCCAAAAGGGAACCATCATTTCAACAACCACCCGTGTGTTGTGCTGGTCATCTTCGACTCTGCACTCGGATTCCCATCCCTCTCTTGAGTTTGGGGTTTAGGGTTTAGGGCTTAGGGTTTAGGGTTTAGGGTTTAGTGGTACGCTTACCCTTGGTTTGTAGGGAATGGAAGAATGGTAGCAATAGTAGCTATAATTGTACCCCATTCCTTCATTCCCTACTAACCAAGGGTAAGTACTGGCCAATGCCATAGGAATAAGGACAACATGCTACGAGAAGCAACACGATAGTCCACTCTGCACTGCCATGCAAGAAGCAGCGACCCGCAGAAGAGATCTGCCTAAGAAGCTGCAAGAAGTCGCTCTTCGACCCTATCTGCAGTGTGCACTGCAAACCTGGCCGCGGGGGATGTAGCTGTGAACCTCAGTCTTCATGATCCTCTTATCAGTGCTGCTAAGGACAGCGTCTGCGTCAGGCGTGGGAGTTTCAGCAGAGCATCGTAGTCGTAGTGTGTTGCAAAGACCAATTGATCTTTTGCCGCTCATGCGCCAGTGCAACTGTGAGCAGGCAGGAGAGAGCAGTGAATGCCCATGCTCTTGTGCCAGCGCTGCATGGCTGCAAGCATGCACTTGACGTCCTGGAATGTAAAGCTTCACCGATTTAATTTAAGGTACCATAATAGGAAGCCATACTATTTACTCTAGATCCCTATCACGGTACCTTAAATGAACTCCCTTAGCAAGAACCCGGTTGTGCATCAGCTTGCGTCTCTTCCCTGCAGTCCAGAGACCTGGAGGTTTGAAAGTTTCATTGAGGGGCGTTCCTGATTCCTGATCTCTGGCCTTGCCTTTGGTTAGTGGGGAATGGAAGAATGGTAGTAATAGTAGTTATAGTTGTACCCCATTCCTCCATTCCTACTAGCCAAAGGTAAGTGGCTCCGAGAGAAGGGATACTGCCCTTGTCAAGGCTCCGAAAGAGGCTGGCTCCTTGCCAGAAGTTGCGAGCGATGTGCAAACATCCATTGGTGAGGCACGTGCCTGTTCTGGCCGGTTCCTAACTCTAAACCCTGAACCGCCTAAACCGTGCGGTAGGTACGGCCCTAAACCCTGAACCCTAAACCGTACGGTAGGTACGGTAGAGAGCGAAGACTGCACAGATACAAACCTGCAGCAGGGAATGTTGATCGTGAGATGCCCGGCTGGAGTCGCAAATGTCACCTTTGATCTCGAATGCTCTGGAAGCCTAAACCCGGTAAAGTGCTCTGTGGTGTGCCCCTCCCTCAACCCACATGGTTCTCTGGACACCAACTGATTACAGACAAGAGGGGGCCAAAGTAAAGTCTAAACCCTAAGCCTAAACTCCCTAAACCCTATAGAGCCTAAACCCTAAGCCCTCAACCGTCGTTGCCACTGACGAAACCCCACTTCTGTTGCAGGCTGGCTCGGATAGCTGGGACTGGGAAGATGAAGGCCAGACATGCAGTAGGAGGGCATCTGGCTTTTAGGGGCGAGTTTAGGGTTTAAGGGGTGTAGGTTTGGATCAGAAAGTTCTGGCCGGCTTTTAGGAGAGCTTCGGGGTTTTAGGGGTTTAGAGTCTAGAGTTCCTTCAGGGAGGTCTGCATCATGGACCCATTGAGAGTCAGTTCCCAGAAAGCCCCCGCCTGGAAAGAGCTCCGAGCTAAGAAACTGCCCCGTTGCCATCTGAACCGAGTCATGTCACTGTTCCTATCGACATTTATTTAAGTCTGACCTTCTTGACCCCACATGCCCCAAACTTTACATCAACATCAGATCTGCCATTTTCTGAGATCCTTTGTCTCGCAAAGCGAAAGCATCCGTTGAACGGATCGATGTTCGCGATCGCCGACGCGTGTACTCAGTGCAGTGGTCTTGATTCAACTTTCCTAGTCCTTGGCTTGGCAGGTGTCGGCGTGTCGCGAGGAGGGGTCACAGCAGCCCACAGCTATAGGCACCGAAGCAGCGACAAAGCGGCAGCTCAGCTTGCGGCATTCTGACGTACTTTCACGACAGCAGAACAACAATCTCGACACGAACCCTGACTAAATCCGGAGCCCTCAAACCTAGCCCGAAAGCTTTGCGCCAGTCCAGCGCTCCCGGGCCAGGCGTCACGCGCACGTTGCCACCGAGCCGGGAGGTGACAGCAGGCACCTGGATCTTACATCTGACTTGGCGAATGCTCTGCGAGTCATACACGGTTTCGCACGCAACGACCTCGGACCCAGTCAGCATGCTAAGTGTGTGTTTCCGCCGAAGTGCTTTTCCGGAGGTCTCTCGTCATTGGTCATGTCAACGAGCGCGGGGTCAGGACCCCCATGAGCCGACAGCCTCGGCAGTGAAATCGTCAGATACGCACCGCGCGTCACTGTGCTCGCAGGATGTCCAACAAGGAGTCCCACCATGAAGGATCTCCGTGAGGCAGCGAATCATGGTTTCTTGGCTCAAAAACCGCTACTGTAGACTCAGACTCCACCGACTTTCGGTCATGCATGTGTATGAGCTCACTGAGGCGACAGCTGGCTGGGAGTAGTGCTGGGAGAGCAGGCTGAGGCCTGTTGTCACCGTTGCTTTGAGCTGCGGGTTCCCCATGACTTCGGGGGTAGTTCCGGCAAGCCTGTCCTGCGTTGCATCCTAACCCAAATCCAACAAACTGCTTTGCAGCCGGAGGATACAACCGTCAAGAAGTTGGAGGCCAGGGTGTCGGGTTACCAGGGTTGCATGAGGTATCTAAAGAGGATCTATAAGGGTTCTTACGCCTTGAGAAGGGTTGGGCGGGTGTTGACGGGTTTGCGATAGCTGTGAACTCCGAAGCCTTGTGAGTTTTCAGCTTGTGCTGTCATCCGCCGTGTGTTCTCATACTGCCCATGCGGCCACAGGCTTTGCAAACTCACGTAGTGGGGCCAAACATGGCCAAGCAATGATATCCCTTATAGTGACCCAACCAGCGGCTTACGCACTAATGGTAGCTGGTTGAGGCCTTGGTGCACGGCCTGGGCTTTCAGGAGCCTTTGGCTGAAAGGCTGGCAGACGCAGGCACAGGATACATGAGGGAGGGTTTACGGTTCAGGGGTCAAGATGTACTTGGGGTTGTGGGTTTGGGATTTGTGGGATGAGGATACAGTAGGAGCCAGGCTGTAGCGTGAAAGGCACCAGCAGAAGGTGGTTCAAGTTGGAGCACGATTCCTCAAAGTCTTATTCTTAAACCCCCAGACTTTGACATCCCAAACCCTGAATCTTATTCGGCACCTGCCCTAAACTCTAAATCCTAAACCGGTTTCAGGCATCTATCTGGAGGAAGACGAGGATGGCGAGGATGGCATCCAAGAGTTCCGGCTGGCACTCGAGGATGTCGGAGTCCACTTCGAAGAGGCCGCGGCAAGGATAATGATCGTTTCTAAGTGTTCCATAACGTGTCAAAAACGGTTCTGCAAGGGCGCCGCAAGGATTTCGGACCCCATGGCTTTTTCTACGGATTTATTGGGGTGTTTTGGCTTCTGGCCTTCAAGCCCCTAGACTAAACCCCTAAGCCCTAAACCCCTAGAAACAGCAAGCGCTGTGCATGACTGTTTCTCGTGAGCTGGCCTTCGGCCAGGTCCATGTAGGGGTGGATGTGGACAGCGCTGCACCACGCGTCAAACCGGGAGTGGCGGCCCGAACCCGAAACGATGTTTCTGTGGCTTTAGGTTTTCGAGGGTTTAGAGGTTTAGGCGGTTCAGGGGTTCAGCATTTCGGGGTTCTGGGGCTCAGGGGCTTCGAGGTTGAGGATTCAAGTCTTGGGGCTTACCGGTACATGTTAAGAAGGCAATCGCACGGGCCTTTCAGGTTTGCAGCAGCCGAGTAAACGACAAGACGCTGGATGACTGCATGGATGAGGACCTCTTTGAGGTCTGATTCTCCGTTATTGCGCGCTTGCGGCACATGCCGCAGTAGCTAGGAGTAGGTCGCAAGGAGCAAGTGCTCTAAGCAGCAAGCAGCCCGTGCCATCGATTTGAGATGGTCAAAAACAAGAGGCTCGGCGATTGTTTTGAGCACAAGGGCACTTGCCCAGGTACTATAGAAGCAAGGTCTGCTTGTGCCCCAGAAGCTCGAAAGGTGGACGAATATAGTTGTTGTAGACCCGCTAAGCCACTCAGCACGACCCGAAACCTAAAACGACTGCTGTTTCTCTCGCTCAGTGCTGCCTTGAAACCCCTTCAATTGGGTGGCTTTACGGTGTGCGCGTGTGTGTGTGTGTCTGCACTTCCTGTCGAGTCCAAGTTCAAGTTTGTGTTGTCCCAGCATTCGACAGGCCTCTGGCAACTT